GGCTGGCACTGCTTGTGCTGCCAGCGTCCCGGGTGAAGTCTACAAGTCCTCTTGCTTCCTTCTATGTCAAGCCATGTAAACACTCCACAGACTGTCCACAATATAAGGTTCCTCAACTAGACTAGACTGGACAATTTCCTACAGACTTTCCTTTTGTGGCAAGATAGGGCTTCAATGGGCTTCATTTGGTGTGTGTTTGTCACGGGCGGCCTCTCTTTGTTTGGTCACCGCCACTTTGCCGCTGAATTGGACTTTAGGACTGCCGGCAATTCACCAACGCAACACTTCACCCATGGCGTTCTCATCCTCTCTGAGGTACCAAGTGGGACTGAAGCTTCCGCACGATCCACGTGAGCCTGCCTTGAGGCACCGTAACATGACTCCTCTTCAGGGTCTCTCCCTGCCTGGTCGGGAGATCTCGGGGAGATGTCTGAAATAGATCTCGATCTCGGCACCGGGGGGTTGGTGGCATGTTGAAACCGGTTTGGAGATGCTTGCGAATCAAGATGAATCAAGGGGATCATGGGATCCACGAAAAGGCTCTTAAAGGGGATATGCGCTATGCACCAATGGGACAGAAATGTGCTTTTTGTGGCATTGCTGAGAGCCGTGAAGGAACGCAGGTCTATGTTACCGTGGCTCGGGGTCGACATTGAACTGTCGCATCCCATTGTCAGATCATTTTTTAAGTTTTCCATTGTGTGACAGTTTTGACTGCCATCACGCAGGAGGTTGTTTTCAAATGTTGACGATGCCAAAGGCTAGTCGTAGCATTTCCAGCATATCTTTCTACCGAAAATTAACATGTTTTTGTTCACAATTGTAAAGGCAAAGAACTGATTTACTTCACATCCTGCACGATACCACCTGGGCCGAGTGGCTACACAAAAGCCATCCAAAAACCAACATCTTCTCGCCACCGGCGTTCGGCCGTTGGTGGCCTGCGGGAGGTTATCCTTCGTCACCGCCTTGGAGGAAGATGAAGCGGTTTCTGGCGTGATGACCTCGCTCACGACGCTGCGGAAGGATCTGGCAGAGATCAAAGGGACGCGTGGCAGCAGATCGGTCAATCGCCCCAGATCTGCATGGTAGATCTGGGCGATCTTGGAATCGCTTTCGCGGGACCCTCGCCGCGTTGCGAACGTGGGTTGCCCACGTCGGTATAGGACGGGATGTCTCCAGGTGGTCCGATCGCTTAAGCAGCCCTGGGGCTGCTGGGACTGAAAGGAAGCGGCAAAGCAGCATAACCCAAGTGATTTTGGGAGTTGTTGGAGTCCAGCTGATCGAAGATACAAGATACAAGCTACGTTTGTAACAAGGGCATAGCTATATACTAGTAGCTTCTTGCTACGCTCGTTGGAACATGGCCTCCAAGCTAGTGATGGCCTCTAACCTAGTAGCTTCTAGAGCTACTAGTAATGGAACTTGATTCCCCACGACATCATTTGCCGATCGACTCTGGTTTCGACATGACATCATTCAGTCCCAGGACCGTCTGCTCGCTGGACGCCAACGCGGCGAACGCGGAGGTGGTGCGGCAGCTGGGCACGTTGCAGGAGCGCTGGGCTTCTCGGCGAGAACGGTGCCAGTGCCACTCGCAGGAGGTCGTAGGAGATCGTAGTTGTAAGTTGTCAGAGCAGCGTTGTTTCTGATGTGTTTAATGATTTTTTGCAAGGTTCCATTCGATTCTTCAAACAATCACAATGAACCATAGAGACACACCAGTTAGGAGGCTCAGCAGCCCTGAACTATCAGGACCTGTTGGAGGGTCCTGGTGTGGAATATTTGCCAACGTTGGGGTGATTTTTGCGATGCATTTAAGGGTCAATGTAGGTAAATATTCCACGGTGGTCTGGGATGGTCAGTTGAAACGAATGTCCTGGTGATGGTCAGAACTTGGAGGGCCAAGAATGATCCATGAGTTGTGGAAGAAAGATTCCCTATAACTGGCCGAACTACGGTGACATGGTTATGAATCAATACATTGCCAAGTATTTTGTCCCGACCACTCTCTCGCGGTCTGACAGATCCGAGATCGGATATCGAATCAGATCTCAGGCTGGGTTGCAGGTCTCCTGCTTGACTGGAGAAGTCCAGAAACTTGTGGAGTCCAACGAGGAGTTGAAGAAGGACCAGATCCTACAGAGATGATGACTCACTTCTTCAAATTCACGATGTCAATGTTTATGAAGTTGAAACACCTGGTTTTGCTGTGAATGTGACACTCTTGAAGATGTCATGAATGTCACGGTGTCATCTTTTGGAGTGTCTCATAATGCGGGGACTCCAACCCAGGGAGAGGTGCTAGCCACTGAGACAAAATGTGTTGCACAATATGATTATGTATTATTATGTATGTACATGAATAGATATATATGAATGGTAAATGCATGCATGCTGGCAAGAGAGGTGTGGGACCCTTCTCTTCGTTACACGGTTGTTGCAGCCCCTGCAGCCCTTGTGATGTATTATATCCAAGATGAAGTTGGTTAGAGTTGTCTTGGATGTCCATGTTTCACATTGACCCAGCCACACAACCGTTTAGAGTTTTTGGCGCCCCAGGTGTTTAATACTATGACTCCGCCTATTATTTGAAAAACGTTTTGTGGTTCTATGTCATCCTTTTTCATTTTCTTCTCCTCTTCTACCATGCCTCCGGAGGAGGGGTAGGACTTGATTATCCTCCTTTTGCTTGATGTTCGAAATTCCATCTTCACAAGAATCCAGAATGATCAGTCACACTAGGACCTGTCAGAGCAGTTGAAGCCTGTGTTCCTTGGAACAAGCGCGTCAAACGCCGCATTTCGCCCACGTGTGGTGGAGATTTCGGGACCTTTCGCCCACGATGGGTTCGAACCCCAACCGGCAGATTGCATTTAGGAGAATTCTTTTTGACACCTGACTCAGGAATTTCAGACATGTTTCTGGATGGACATCCATCTCCAAAAAGCTTACTTCGGAAAGTGAAAGACATCGGCTTTCTTCGTTCGGAACTCCGTTTCGCGAAGAACCACCGCCTCCTCACCTCTCTCTTCATGCCTCTAAGTGCTTCATCCCCCCCCAAAAAACTTCACAAAACACCTGGATTATCACCGTTTTTGGCGCCACAAACATTCATCCGAATCGCCCCTTCCTTCGAGACCGAGGCTGGCCGAGCTGCGGGGCGTTCAAGATGCGAAGCTTGGAGATGGATGGAGATTGGGGAGGTGGGAACCGGAGGCTTCGAAGCTTCTTGAGATCAGATCAGGAGCTGAGAAAATGCAGCCTTTTAATGGTTTACGTTTGTGAAGATGAAAGAATCTGTGGGTCCATGTAGGTCCAAGGTGCAATTATGTTGGAGTATGTGCCCAATCCCAAGAGAAGTCTCTTAATGGTTCCATGCATTGGAGGTGTTTTTGGGCAATTGATTCTGTCGGGAAGGTCCTGTTTGTTTGGAGACCAGTCTATGCTCATCCACAGAACATGTTCAATCAGCCACCACCTCCACCGAGGATTTTGCAGTAATGGAGAAACCTGTCGAGGTTTGGCGGGAGTCGGTTGGACGGTTGGGGTCGGTTCATTGGGGGAGAGGTTGGAGGTAGAGTTTGAGTCTCAAGATTTGAAGGTTTTAGAGTCTCAGAGATTCTAAGAGTGTCTAAGACATTCTAAGACTAAGAGTCGCTGCAGAGCTGCAAGTCAAGTCGTTCAGGCAACAAAATGCTTTGGATTTTCATGGTATGCGTCGTGTATTCTTGTGTCTAGTTCGTGGTGTGCCAACTCACCTTCAAGCAACTAGCAAGAATATGAATGAATTACGACAGCCCAGCAAGCAATGACCAAATTCTGTGCGCAGAACGTGCACACGCGTGAAGCCTTGCCTTCAGCAGGTCAACCGTGAAGCTCGATGAAACTCGTCGAGAAACTTAGCACTGACATAGAATCGAGTTACAGGATTTGTATGGTACCAGAATTTGGGTGATATTGGGTCTTTTCAGACCCACCGTGTGTTTGGGGGCATAGACCCGATCACCTCATTTGGCTTACTCAGACTCCCAACTGCCAAACCTGATCCTGTATTCCTTTTCTATGACACCGGTACTGGCAAAACGCCAGTCCACGGCGCATGTCTGTGGCGGTTCCGATCGCTGCAGGACTCGGAGACGAAAAACGGCGCGCCGCTTCCGCGCGCCGCCGCGCGCCACGCGTCTTCCGCGGGCGGTGGCCACCGATGCGGGTGAAGGTCTGAACGTCAAAAACGGACCTCTGCAGACCTTTGAACTGCCCCAGGTGGACCTCTCAAGAAGTCCAAAAGCCTCGAAGCTGGGTTTTTGCTTCGGCTTTCGAAGGCAGGCTTTCGGTGCTCGAGGGTGTGGTGCATGGCTTTGGGAGATCCATGCCTTCAAGCAAGTAGCAATCAGCTATCTTGAGTACTTCAGCAGGGGCTGAAGGTGAAGTGATCTGATTTTGAATGATTTTCAGCTGCATTCCTTTGGGAATAGCCGTGGTTCTCGATGCTCACTTGCTGGTGGGCGTTCTCTCACGGCTCAAAAGCTGTCCATTTTTCACGCCGGACAAGGTAGCTTGGCAATTCCCACATTGGAAGCTGAAGCAGCCCAGAAGTCTCCCTGAACGAGGGCTACCAGATGCCACACAACCCACACCACATTGTCCCAAGCGGAGTGAGATGAACCTGGATGCCCGGCCAACCCACAGGTTGAGGCGAAGGATCAGGCATGATCAGACTCAGCCCATTGGGTCATAAAATAGTCTGAAAGGAAGGAACATGAAGGAACCAAGGTTTTTGGGATTTGCACATGGTAGATGACGGCTTGATCAGAGGCACAACGGCTTGATCGAGAAACTACCTCTCGATGTGTAGACAACACGGATGGAACCAAGCAAGACGTATCGAATTCCTTAAGCAACCCTTCCACTGTGAATGATTCAGAGCAAGCCCACCAAGTTCCACAGCGTCCTTCTGGAATCCAGAGTCCTTCGAGCTAGCCGCGCATCCTGAACCCATGGCGGTCACTTGGATGCGTCTGGCGGAGTGCTTTGCGGAGTGCAGGGCATGTCTTGATCTTCCACCCCACCCCAGCCGAGGTGGCTTTGGCAGATTGAAATACCTACATACAGCGGTCGGAGGTAGTTACTGTATATGAGGAGGTAGATTTTGGTGCTTAATGTTGTTGGTTTCGTGTTGCACGTCTTGGTACATAGTCTTGTGTAGATCCAAGGCCTGTGGAGCGCCACGGAGCGCAAGTTGTGTGTGTGGGTGCGTTGTTTTTTTCTGTGTAGCCCTATGGATCCACCTTACCGAACCTGAGGAGACCAGTGAGCAGGGTGATGTAGGCATTTTCTGGGCCCAGTCGTACCGAACGGCAGTGGATGGGTATAGATACCCTAGGGAGCACCTTTCAAGGGTAGATTCCTCGACATCGGAGGACTCACAGCGCTGTTCAGCGCTGTGGGATCGGCTGCTTCATCAGCGAAAACAACGGATTGTCATCCTGATGGAGCCTGAATCGCGTTCATGATTCAAACTAAGATTGGCCAAGACGCGGTGCCGGCACAAAAAAACATTCGTTTGGGGGCTTTCCAGTTCTGACCACGCCTAATTCAAATCAATACTGCCTACGAACAACGTATACAGTATTTTCCCAAACCAGTGCGCTAGGTTTCTGGCGTTTGAATTCCATCAGTGGGGGCACACATCTTCCTTTGACGAGGATGAGTTGCCCGATGGTGACACCCTACGGATCCTGGTGCTGACGGACACCCATGTGCCCAGCTGAGAGAGAAAGAGAGAGCAAGAGCGGGGATAGCTCGGCAGGTGTGCGGTTTCCAACGCAACCGGTTGTATGTAGAGTGTTGCAGCAGCTGGCTAGTGCTTCCCAGCTACGGGTATAGCAGCTACTGTAGCCCAGGAGATCCTGGCTATACTACATATATATGTTTATAATATTTTAACAGGGGAGCAAAGTTTAAAAGAAGCTTACGTGGAACCCCAAAGCGCGCGGCGTTTCTTTTTTGTTCCCGACCAGTCCATCAGGTGAACCGAGAGGAACATCTTTCTGTGCCCTGCAACAGCATCGACGTCTACACCCCGAAACATCGTGGAAAACACGGGGATTTCCCTGAAAATAGGCTCAAGGCCAATAGTACTATAGTCTTCCTGTTGATGGAGCCTTCCTCGGCAAACAATGTCGTTAAGATGTTAATTAAAGTATTATTGCTTTGCCACTTGAGTAGGGGTTTATGTGCTTGATTTACCGGACATGAACTTCCACAGGCCGGTTTGGGACACCAAAAAGACACCTGACTCACAGGTGGGCTTCAACGAGAAGGACAAGGCATGGAGCTCCGACCGAGCTTGGGAAGGCAATGGATCTATGATGATCTGTGTGGATCACGTGTTTTTGACACACATTGAAGCTTGCTAATGGATCACGAGTCAGTCTATGATGATCTGTATGGTGATCTGACATTGGCTGACTTCTTCAAGGTGATGGGCCCAAGCCTAAACTGGAGCTCACGATCCTCCGTACGGCATAGTACACCTCAATACGGACTCCGCTCTGGAACTCTGGGATTTGGATTTCCCACTATAAACCGTGGAACTGCGAGTTCGCGGTACGACCACAACACGTGGTTAGAGTGGTAGAACAGGTGGAAAGTGGAAAGTGATTCATTCACAACACGTGATCGGAGCGATAGAACAGGTGGACAGTAATTCATGTCGAGGGTACTATTAGTTGGTGTCCAACCGTGAATTGGCTTCATCTTCGGCCGAATTCGATCGCCGATCTCCTTGCCGCGGGTTCCGAGATGACGATCGGTCCCAGGTTCGCAGCAAAGATTCCATCAACACGTTGGAGGACCGGTCTCCAACGGTTGCGACGGAGAGTTGGAGCTTTGAGCGTCCTCGCACGGCGCGAGCGGCGCGCGCGCGCGGCGCGGGCGACGCCGGTTGGTCGGCGGTTGCAAGTCATATATTCACCGAGAGGTCTGGTAGAGAACCATTTAAACAGGTCTCGTATACCCGGCAGGTAGCTTAGCTTCCAACTTGCCTAAGACTCCACAGCAAGAAGGTCAAAGGGTACCTTGTACTTCAAAGCAAGCACCTAGCAGAAACCCCTTTTGATGTGCCATTCTGGGACATCACGCAATGTAATAAATTAATACAATGAAACGAGCAAGACGTCTAGGAGCCGCTCTTGACAGCGAAGGCAAAGACCAGTCAGGCACCAGGCGTGACATCAAAAGGCCGTGTACAACGACAGGTGCCTGGCAGTGACGGTCAACTGTACATGGCGCTCACACCGCTGCATGTTGGTAGGAATCATCCTGTTGGTACATGTGCCAGAGAAGGCTGTAAAGGTTGTTGCGCCATACGAAGTGTGTCTTCTTACCATGTTTAGGCAATTGTTAGAAGGACTTTCAGAAAGTCATGGTGGTATGTGTGAAGCCGCACCGGTGCACACGCGTGAGTGCACACTGTCCCATCTCCCATGCTCTCTCAGTGGACGGAGGATCCCAAGAAGCGATGGAGGATCTGAGGATCCCAAGCCTCGCAAAATAGGTTGTCAAGTGGGCAATCCGGAATCCACGCTCCATTTTTTTGGGGGACACCCAGACAGCTCTGATAGAGGGGATTGAATGGATTTCTGGTAACGAACTTCTCATATTTCTCATGAACAGATGCGGAGATGATGAGTGCTGTGCTTCAAGGAGGCGCTGCAGGTCGGCAAGTCCTCTCAGGCGGACCTCATTTTACATGGCTGGCAACTGAGCAGAGCAGCGAACTGCTTGGTGTTCTCATCGATGGGCAAACCTGTCCGGACGTTCAACCTGTAGGAAACACAATTAGGGAACGATGTCCTATATATACTAATTAACTTATTTAAATAGCCCTAGTTATAGCCCTGTAGTCGGCTTTTTGTGTGATCTCTGGAGTTGCTTGGTTCTGTTTCGTTTGCAGCGCCTCGTCCAACAGCGAGACCATGGGATGTGTTTACCGACGATCTGGTGCCGACCCAGGGGGAGATCTCTTCCACGACAACAAGCCATCCAGGCGACCCGGACACGACGGAGGGTCCGGGTGCGTAGCTTCTTGTGACGTTCGTGGCGATGCCAGGAGCTACGTGCGTAGCGATGCACCTGGCTATTAATAGCTAGTTGCTACTAGTGTAGGTATGCCAGGAGCTACTATAGTAGCGTCCTTGCTCCTAGTGATGCCCTTTTGTCCCCAGTGGGATTCAGCTGCACGACACTGCATTGGCAGGATCTTCTGCCAACTCAGAAAGGGACAGAGTAGTGGCTCAGTGTCCGTCTTGGGAGCACATCGTGAGGATCGAAAGCCATGAAGGAGACATCCAGCTCAGCGTGAATTGGTTGTTCAGTGCACTTAGCCATTCTCCGTTTAATGAAGCCGAATTATATGAAACAACAGCGCCAATATCACGGAGAATCAACGCTGACCAAAAAGAGCCGCCTCTTCGACATGGCCTCTTCGCCTGACCACGGTCTTCACCTTCTCAAGGCTCCCCCAAATCGGTCGTTCTGCGCGCGCGGGGCAAACCACGCGGGCGCGAAGGGGCTGCCTCTATCGGACCATGGACCTGATTCGGCAGTACACCATGGGCTCTGGAGAGGCTGGACCGTTGGTGCTTCGGGGCGATTACTTTGGCAGAGGTGGAGTGTTCTCTAGCCCCGAAGTGGGTCCATCCCCGACTCAAACAAGGGGGAAGATGTTGTCCCCTTTTTGTTTGGAGTCCCTGGACATCCCTGGAAATGTTTGTGGAGAATGTTGGAGACGCTTCTTAGCAAATGGTTCACCCTTCCAGTTGGACCACTGCTTCTCATTGCCTCTCAGCGTTGGAAGCTCTCTCTGTTCCGCTTGGTGGCTCCTCAATTGCAAGATCTATGGAGGTCTTCGAAAGGTCCTAGGTCACGTCACGCTCTACCAGTGGCCTTCAAACCCACGAAACAAATATGTAGAGGCGTTCGTACAACCACCATGTTTGTTGCTAGGAACAACCAGGTCTTTGATCCCGGGTATTTTGACCAATCAGTTCCAGGTCGCCTTCGAGGCCCACCCAGACGCGACGAGATGCGACCGACGATGTGTTGGGCGCGAACAGCGACGACTGCTAGAAGTTGTTGAGGATTCTTGCTGGAGTGTTTTTGGCTAACCACCCTTGACCACGGGAGCATGAATTTACTACTGGTATTTGTTTAATGCATTTTTGAGTGTTTCTTGGCGACCCTGCATTTGCTTTTCTCGTTGCGCCTGACCACACCTTTAAAAAGCATTATATGTGTTTATCAAACTTCACGCTGATGTTGATAGCAATTGTGACTCAATGTATGATCAAGATGCAGCTAATGCATGAAGTCCTTTGCAGCACTATTTGCATCCAGAGAAGTTCAGGCTGTTTGTTGTTTCCGCCCAGAGCTAATTCCACAAGTGCTGCATGTTCTGCATACGTCCGTGTGAGTGCAGTTGACTCATGTTAACTGCGACATGACGGACAATGGGTCGGATGTCCAGGCCAGCCAAGCGCTGCAAGTACCGGCACGTGGATTTGCTCTAACCTTCTGCCTACTGAGAACTCGCACAAATGATGGAGGACACAGACCTCTTTGTAATTACATAATACATAGAGATTTACCATCAACATCCATTTGCCTCGTTATCTTCAGGTGTGCTAGCTAGCTTACGCTCAGGTGGTGAGCGACCAGGCCTGCTTCGCCCGGGGCAGGGTGAACTACGAGGATCCGAATCTCAACGTGGAATGCCCTTTGTGGCGCTGTCCTGGTTGAGCCGAGGGAGAGGTCCGTGATCACAGCGACCAAATCCACGCGAGTCGAGGCTTTTTGGAACTGCGAATCGTGTGGTTTTGGGAGAGACTCCGTTTTGTGGATGACTCACGCATCGAGCTTCGAATCGAGAAGTATATTGATCGCATGGATTCAGAGTAAAAGATGCGGGACGTCGCAGCTTCCTGGATGAAGAGACTTCGTTTTAGCTTTCGACGCGGGCACTTTGATGTTTGTCGGTAGGTTGGAACACTCTGACCTGAAGATTGATGTTGGCTCCCTTCTTGTCCTCATGCATCACTTCCCCTTGTCCAAAGTCTAGAGCATGTAGTTGAAAGCGACCCACTGAACCCACACGCGAAACTCTTCACAGTGTGATTCTATTCCATTCTATTCCAAGTTGCACCTGGTTTCTACAAGAACATCCAAAACCGGTGTGTTTTGCAAGTCGTTTCCCTTTCAACCAATGCAGTTCCTCCTCTCTGGTGCCCTCCGGTCCCTCGCCAGTTTCATGATCCACGGGAACCACGACGATCCGGGGGGCGAGAGCAACTTGTGCGCGGCGAATCTCTTGGAGGCCCCGCATCGAGACATCATCGAAGGATTCAGTTCAGCCTGGGTGATGTTGAACCCTTCATGCTGCGTGCGAACCCAGACAAGTTTCCGAAAGCAACACATGAAAGAACCATAATGCTAGTGAATCTAGCTCAGGTGTACAGCATAAGCAGCATGATGTGAGAGTTTTTTGGCGGCATGGTAGCGCAATTGATTGATTTTGCTCTTGGAATAGTGTGGAAATGCACATCAAGCACAGAACACATTGGATGTTGCACTGTAGTTGTTTCTTCCGGAGGAATTTGTATGGATGTGGTTCCTTGAGTAGGAGAGCTTGTTGCGCAAGTCTCTCATCCTTCAAACGCCTGAATAAGGATCTTCAAGTTACAACTATGGCATGCCCTTCAGGTATGCCATGCTAGCTTCTCGTGGGCACCGCCCATATTTCACGTCTCCCAGCAAAACCCCTCAGACAAAGCTTCGGGTTCGTCGGTTGGCACGACCAGGTCGCCGGGCTTTGCAATTACTTTGGCCGCCATGAAGACTTGGAGGCAGGGCCGTGGAACAAGTGGAAACGATGGGGTGTCAGGAACAGAGAAGTGAAAGTGCCAGAAATGAGGGTGCATGAAGGTGGATAATAAAGAGTTGTTGATGGTTTTTTGTTGGTTATTGAAAGGTTGGTTATTCAAACTGTTTAAACAAGATAAACAAGGTTTTCAAAGGTTTTGTTATGTGAGCAACGTCATAAACCTCTATGAAAGATTTTAGGTAGGACTTAAGATTATGAATCTTTGCGAAAGGAAAACTGCAGTTGGGGAAAGCTTGGCGAAAGGTTTGGAGAAAGGCTCTGAATTGTTTATGAAAGGATTTTGTTGCGAAAGGGTTGGCGAAAGAGGTTTTCAGTGCAAAGCATGTCATCCAAAGATTCCTGATAACCAGGCGAAAGGTTCGCGAAGATGTGGCGAAAGCACTGGTTGCAGATTAGGAAGGATTCCCCTTTGCTGATACTTTTCTTAGATGTAAGTAGCAGAAACTCTGCAAAAGGGTTAGCGAAAGAGGTTGTTGGGTGAAGTTGGTCGGCGAAAGCAACACATGCAGTCGCGAAAGCGTTGCGAAGGGATGGGCGATTCTTTTTATATATTATAGTCTTACTTTAAAGAATAAAAGTTCCGGAGGGTTTTTGACACCGCTCATTATGTGTTTACTTTTTGATCTTTCCAACCAGTGATTGCAAACAAGTGGCTTCACTGGATCTGCCGGGATTGCTGCGAGCGGTTAGGGGGGGATGCTGGGGACAGGACCTCCATGCCTTGGGTGCGTCACCGGACTGCGCTGGGTCACCCGACTCCACCGTTGGACGGTTGGAACCCTCCCAGATCCGTGCTTGTCTGTTCGTTTCAGGGCATCTCTTGACTTCTCTTGACCGACGTGTGACGTGTGAAGCGAAAGATTTGAGTTGAAGCCTTTGAACAGAGAGTGTAAGGACACACCTGTTTACACCTGTGTTGACACCTGTTTACACCTGCTGATGTGGGCAAGGCAATGATCGTTAGGATGTCATGTCGTCAGGATGTCATGCGTGACCATGTCTTTTGGTCGAAGTAAACCACTGTGACCCAGCGAACTAGTGGGAACCTTCCCTATGGAATCTGGAGATTGTGGTCTTTGTGGATTGTCCATAAGTTCTTAGACATGCACACTATACCACAGTGTTCTTTTTAATCATGGAAGTCGCTTGTTTCGGTGTCTTCCACTTTATGGAAGCAAGATAGTGCTTTAGATGTTAGGTGATAGTGATTACTATATATTCACAATCATTGGCATTGGTACAGGAATCAGAAACTCTTTGGACTAGTACTCCTATACATTTAATGTTTCAGTCCAACACTACGTTCGATTGCGAATCAGGTGGTGCGTGCCAAATAAAGGCAGGTGCTTGCCAGCGTGTCAAATATGGCAACATGGATGGTCTAGGACCGCAAATGTTGAGTACTAACTCGTCAATCATCGTGGGATGATTGGTGGTACGACATTGGCTGAGGAGAAGCGGTTTTGTTGCGTCTTGATTCTGTGACGCATGTGTGTGGGATTTGCGGCAATCCACAATACATGGGCCCAACAAAGACCTGCACCAAAAAAATCAATCGCGTGAGCTGAGCTATTCCATTGCAAAATCAAGGTAATACATTCTATATTGATATAGGCTGCAGTATCTTGGGAAGGACACTGGGTTCTTTCGACAACTTCAGGGCCTGGGCGACAACAACAACTTGATTTGATCATTCTTTTGTGGTGACAGTGGATAAAGACATGATGCAACAAGAACCATGCGCGAGAAGAAAACGGTCAATTAACATCGAACAAACGTATCTACGGTGTGGAAAAAAACGCGTGATAGCACTGACTATGCCATGGTGTGACATGATCTTGAATCGCAGCTTCCGCGCTTGCTAAATTCGCAAACTGAAAACACAGCAGCTGTGCTGGGCACTGCAGTACGTAGTAGCTCGTAGCAGCAGCTGAAACAGCCGCAGCCACAGATACATGGGCTCTCTAGCCTCCTCGTGGGATCCCTGAAGGTGACTTGGTTTACCAGACTTGGCAACCTCTCCGTGCGTTCCTGCGTCTTCCTCAGGGACACGTGTTGTGTTGCAACGGGATGGATGTGCAGCGACACGACGGCCGTCGTCGAACCGGGCCTTTTGGCACCCGGGGGTCGCAGAGTCCGAAGGGTGTGTTATTGAGGCTAGGGTGGTGCAGTGGTGCCGACGTGGAGCAGTTGAGAACATGGAAGCGCAGATCGTCTGCAGCGACATCACCACTTGTGGTCTACATCTCATAGCTCCCGAATTTCAGCCAGCTAGTTCAATGGGTGGTTCCAGGCTCAAAATGTGGTCCATTTGGGGTGCTTCAGCTGAGGGGTTGAGCCTGGGACCGCTCCTAAAACACAGCCATCTTGGAGAAGAAGGAGAAGAAGATGCGAGTTCAGCACGTCAAGATTGTTTCCTTTTTGAGAACGCATGAGTGTCGCAGTTCTTTTCCAAAAGGAACACATACTAAAAACATCGGGGTGTGAATTTCCTCTATAAGCCATGCACCCCCTTGGGGGTCAGGCGGATCCCCCTTAGGGGGATCTGAAAACAATGCTTGCCCTCAATCACCACGTTGGATCCTGGCAGAGCTCGGTTGTCTGAGCTCCGAGCCCAACCGAACAGCTGTATTTTCACTAAACACTAGTATGTCCACTGGTCATGTTGTGATTTTTGCATGGACATTGCATGGAATGTGCTGTTGTGATGTGAGTTTTCCCCTAATAAGATGATATGACAAGGCACCGGGCTCTGGGGAAAGACTCACCAAGGCAGCGGTTCTTATGCACCTTGGTACAAACAAATGAACACAAAGACATGTTCACACACACATCATCAGCAGTGTGCCCCATGTAATCAACTCTCCGGGTTGCTTAGCAGTTGATCTGTGCCACACGAAAATCATGTGACCCCACGGTGGATTCCGGCCGCTGATCGCTGCCAGGACATCGTGATTCGGCCACTTCTGCTGACCAAGGCAAACTGGATGAAAGGGCTTGGACAAGGGCTTGGACGGTCAGACGGCCACTTCTGCCACTTCCTGAGTTCTTTTTGTTGGAAGGATGAAAGGGCTTGGACATCCGACCGTCCAATCGTCCAGCCTGGAGATCCGGGTCACATTGGGACCGAGTGCTTGGTACACACCGGGGGATCGTTGATACCTGGTGAGTGCTTGGAATCTCTTTGGCAGAGACACCAGGCATCAACGACATGGTGGGGGAGGAGTCTGTTGGACTGTCTGTTGGTAAATACTTGTGAATGCAACGATCTCGTGGCGGAGGAGGTTGAACCTCATGGTGACAAGGCCTGCCGGTGATCGGTTTATGTATGTGGTATATAGTTGTTTGTTTCTCTCTGAAGGGAGGAGGTGCCCAACATGAGCATCTTGGGAGTGAAAAGGCTCAAGATGCTGCCTTGAGACCTTTGTTTTCGTAGCTAAGAAGCTACCAGGTTGGAGGCCATTACTCTTAGGTTGGAGGCCATTGCCATGGTAACAAGAAGCTACTAAGTGGCCCATTCCTAATCCGATTTCTTCTTGTGTGAGGCCCTCACGTTCCGGTCAAGCTGATGAGCATGTTTGGTCCAGAGTGTTTGGGTGAACCTGGTGAAACTGCAGGATGCAGCCTGTCATATCCTGTCGACACACCTGTCCTGACTCATGTCCTATCCATCCAGATCATGTTGAAGTTTGCAATGGCAATGACCATAATGACCTGCCTACCCAACTCGTGCTTGTTCAAGGCTCACAGATTGACATGGAAAAGATGCACACACACAAGAGCAGGTCTTTTCAGGCCGTGTGGTATAATGGTGTTTGGTTTGGTTTCAAGGACATTTTTCTCCGAGTTGATCTGGGCAGGACCTGACAAGCAGAAATTGTTCTTCCCATACCGCAACCCATTGTACTGAGAAATCAATGCACCGAACTCACAAGAAAAAACTATGCAATTCACGGTCCGCTTCTGGCTCTCATAGCTGGTTTACCTTGCCTCCCTTCGGTCCGGTTCCTTTTTCAGCCCACTCCAAGCCGTCAGGGTCGGTCACAAGTGGCCATCTACGGCCTGGGGAACATCCGGGACGAGCGACTCCATCGGGCCTTCCAGGCCTCGATGACTCGAAGGAAACGGCGAGGGCGCGAGGGCACAGGTGTTGACCTGTGCTTGTTGAACGGCCTGGCCTCCATCCTTTCTGAATGATGGCCTCCAACCACGTCATCACGGGGTGAAAGACAAATTCTGAAGAATCATGAATGAATGAAATGTAGGTAAGCTGAGAGAGGGTGAGAATGAAAGCGCACACTTGCGTCGCAAGCCGACATGATTTGCAAACTCCACCGCCTCACCGAGATCACAATAAACCGAGAACAGAATCCATCACTCCAGACGCACGCCAGAAGAGCAAATACCAAGTACCAAAATGGGTACCAAAAAACAGATTCCTACCAAGAACCAAAGGCACTGCATGCACAGCCCCCTCGACCTGTACTGTGCATATCAACCTGGACACAGGTGTCATAGGGGAGTTCAGCACCTTACAGTGACCCAGCCAGCAACGCTGCACTGGATTGTCCAGCAACGCTGCACTATAGACTATAGAGGTTTAGACTGGGTTTGACTTCTGGAAGATCGAGGCACATGTTCTTTGGGTTTTACATGGTTACACCCAACGTTACACACGCTCTCTGGAAGTCGGGTCGAGAGAATCCACAGATTTCTGGCCGAACTCGTCTCTGACCCATTTCGACCATGTGCAGAGCCTTGCTAAGATCGTGGCCGTGCCATTGGGGGTGTCAGACGTTGGACGGTTTGGGGTTGGACTGTGGGGGTGTCCGGGTTGTGAGCCTGAACTAGTGAACTGCAACCAGCGATGAAGTTCACAGTTCACGTTCCACTGGTCCATGAAATAAGGGGGGGCAGTTAAATAAGTTATATCAAGTGTTTCATCCAGCGAGATGCCAGAATGAGTGGTGAAGAGGATCTGTTCGCAGTTTTTGAGATCGTATCACTCGGTTGATTGTAAACTTGCTGGGACATGCCGTACTTACCAGGACCCACTAAGGCACAAGGGGTGGTTCATGGACACCTCTTAACCTCTAAGGACCCCTGGTCCGGGTGTCCTGGTAGAGACCACTCGACAGTCACATCGAGCGAAGCTTCCAGGCCCGCAAGGTCCGCTTCGAGGCGGAAGCGGAAACGGACACCACCACGGGAAGAAACCGGGAAACCAAGGCTCCGGTGAAGCGTTTCCCCATGGGGTTTAATAAGAAGTGGAATAAGGATATCACTTACTTGCAAGCAACACTTGCTTGTTTAATATCACGTGCTTGTTCAACAAGGATATCACTTACAACCAACGGAATCAGACAGAGTGGACCACCGTGGTGCACATGAAGCCTGATAAACACATAGGCGGCGACCGAAAATACACCAAAAAACACATCAGCCAATCCTATGAGGCTCGTTGAGAGGAATGTGAATGTGTTCCAAAAGCGCCTTGAACAGATGAATTTCCAGGAAGAGTTTCTTATAGATGGAGTTCCCGTTTTTTTTTTTCAAGTCACTTAAGTCGTCACGCAATGTCCGGGACAGAACCTCGCCGCGACGTGGCCAACGTGTCCACCGCAGACTCCGGTGGACCCTGACAAGTGGTTCCACGTGATGATCCTCCACCAGAACAGGCGAATGTGCACCGGGACGTGGGGAAAAACGCTGTGTTTTTCCCTTGGGCGAGGTCCGCCTTGTTCGAGGCATCTTTGGCAAGTTGAAAAGCACAGGTTCAAGAGTTCAAGATGATTGAACCTGGCTGTGTTGAAGTGCATGATTACCAAAATGCATCTACTACCCTTCAATTCATGGCATTTAGCTCGCTTCTATCTGGCCCCATTGGTCACCGGTTTAACACCCAACCTGGCGAACCATGGCGAACCAACTCCGGCGGCCGTCGACCTACCGCGAGGCATAAAGGGAGCAAGAGCGGCATTCCCAGCAAATCGTCGGAGCGCCCGGAGCAGCCGTCATCCGCCGTCACTCCGTATGACGGGTGAAGATGCCGTCCGTGTGAAGTTCATCGAATGAGACACATGTGACCTGTGAGATACTCCGGAGTATTGTAGACTCTTGACGTATATGAAGATGATTGTCAATTCAAATGACTGGGGATATGAATCAAGAGTCTACATTACTGTGAGTTCTCCCTCCAGCTGTCATTAAAATGCATCCGACTCTGCAGAGAAATAGGGCGAAGCGCGAGGGCAGCTATGAGATGGAAGTGCAGACCGATGCCACACGAGAAAAACACAGTTGCTCCAGGACGCTACATTTGTTCGCAGGGGATAGAGCTTGGAGGCCATCGCTATCAGGTTGGAGGCCGTTGCTATTAGGTTGGAGGCCATCTCTAAAGAAAAAGAACTGGAAGAAAATCCAAACATTTCATTGAACCTCCCATTCTGGCCCAGAAAGCCGGCGGCCGCTGAACTGGAGGGGAACAACGTTAATTAGGACTGTACTCTTCAACGCGAGTCATTTGTATGAGTCGTGGATGCACATTTGATCGAAAAGGGTGCATTGAACATCCTCAGGCCGTGAGTTGTTCACGCTTTGGACATCTGAACGTTTTTCGGTGCTGAGGTGCATTCACGAGGAGATGCTGCCCTCTTTTCTTGACCTAGTATCTTGGCTGCGAGGCGAAGAAGGAGACGTTTGGGAGACATATTGATGTGCTGGTCTTCAACTTCCCAAGAGGACAAGAGGTGGATTCCATGGGGGTTGGTTTGTTTGGTGCTTCCAAGTTGTCTCCTCTTCTTAAGTATGCCAGCGTGCCAGCGTGCGGCAAGACTCATAGCGTGGAATCTGGTGAGCCTTCCCTTACCGTCCCTACATCAGCGTTCCATGGAGAGCATCGGGCGTGACTGAGGCGTGACTTCTCGTAGCGTTTCCATTGGGAAAAGCATCCAAGAATAGGTCAGGCGTGACTAAGGCATGACATGGTGGCTTCTCTGTATTTGGGTGTCAAAGACCTGTCAAGAGATGTCAAGAGATGGATATCATCATCCCTGATCACGAAGCAACCGCCACTTTTGATCACGGCACGAGTGTCATCCTTGCATCTTGGAGCCTGATTAGCTGGTTTGGTGATCCCTTTTCGGAGGTCCAGGGACGCTGACGCGTCTGGGGGAGGATCACAGAACTGCTCGGTTCGGTTACAGTTCCAGACTCTGAAACCGGGTGACAGATCATGTCACTGATTTTCCGTGCAGAAGGAGAAGGAGTTGTCCCATCCAAGTCATTCCAAGCCGTTCCAATGATTTGTCCATAGATTACCCTTCTGGAATCGATATGGCTTGCCTTCCAGCCGAGCTTAGGAATCGACCCACTCGTTTAGGTCGAGGGCGGCATGTTTGTGGCCCAAGGGAACCCATCACAGTCACAGACATGCAGTCCACCAGGATATACCAGGATCCTTGGATTACAACATGTTTGAACTTAAGTGTGTACATTAGAGTATCAATTAAATATCAGTATATATCAGTATGAATATCATCTATGACATCATAAGACCTTGAAACATCATCCACGGATATCCACCATGTAGCGAACTTCTGCGTTTTAGGAGCGAGTCTACCATTTTCATGTGTTTTTGGACGGTGTCTTAGGACCCTCGACCCGTTCTCCGCGTTTCTTGTCAGACTTTCCGCCGGCTCGACTCGTGATAAACCGACCGGCCGAGCAACCGACGGTTGGGGAACCAAGCTCGACGCTTGGGACCAAGGTCATCTGGGGCCATGAGCATGACTGCCAGGTCAAGCCGCAGGCGATTCCGCGTTCCGCGACCTCGGCGGTGGTGGTGACCTTGGCGTTGGAGGCCATCTCTACTAGGTTGGAGGCCATCGCTACTAGGTTGGAGGCCATCTGACATCGGCGAGGGGACATCGGCGTGGACTGGACAGAGAGATCGTTTGGTTCGGCTCAAGGATGTCCATGGCGATCTGAAGGTCGTACCCATTGGGGAAACCGGTGAAGTCGTCCGAGCGGCCGAGCGGCCGAGCACCAAGGTGGAAGGGTTGGACGGGCCCACCTGCTTGGATGCTGAAGGATGTCAAAAGAAGTTGGAAAAGATCACCCAAGAGAGTGGACGATATCATAGCAGATCCTCAGGTTATAAAGTTCTGTGAAGTTTAACTGGCAGACATGGCCGCCAAAGGCTGACGTTTTCTTGAATGTTGGTATTTTGCCTTTTTTGCTCCGGTTGATTTCTTCGATCAAGGTTCTCCCCAGCTTCTTTGCCTAGCGGTTTCGCGAGTGCCTCCCCAGGAATCACTCCGAGGAGAGTTCTATGTGATCCAACCCGGCTCCTCCGCCAGGGGCGCCAAAAGGTTTGGGTGGTGGCTCGTTCGAGCAAAGGGAGCTTGTTCGAGCACAGGGAGCTTGATTCTTTTGCTCAGGAGCTCAGACTCTTCGCGGGAACGACATATAACGACATGCTTGCTCAAACTCCAAGCGAACAAGCTGAGATCCTGGGAGCGTCCGATTCTTTAGTTGCAAAGTGTGGACATCGAGCGTCCGAGAAATCAAGAGGAAGGTACTCATAAGGTACTGATTGCAATGAGCAGACGACCAGGCGGTGAATACATGTCGAAAGAATAATTATGCCCGAGATGAGCAAAGCTTGGCACAAATCTTGTTTGCCAGCCAGACCAAGGTTCACCCAGACCAAGGCTTCACCCAGTCCATACAGGCTTCCAAATAGCTCTGTTTTCGAGCGTTTTTGGGTGTGGGGCGGGCTTGAAATGGATTGACATGTCCAAGTACCTTTTGAGGATGGAGTTGGAAACATTTGGAAACCATAATTCTATGTAAATATTAGAGAAATCTCTGCAATGCGGTTCGTTTCTTTTTGGTCTTCCCAGAAACCTTTGGGGGTGTTGGGTCTCCCTATTCTAAGGCACACCCAACTTCAACAAAACGTCATGGCGGTTCTTCGAACACGTGAGGTGGCCACCTCCCTCACGCCCGGGGAAGCTGGGCTGAAGCATGCTGGGGGTCCCTGGATGGGGACGTCTTCGTTGGAACACAGAAGAGGATGAGTCTATTGGGGGGGCCCGACCAGGACCATCCGACCATCGGTTCCCCAATAGGATTGGTTTGGTGATTCCACTACTTACATGAGTTCTTTAGAGTTCTTTGTGCAGGACCTGTGTAGGTCCTAGGTTATCCGTATCAAAGGTGATGCACCGGCTAGCCATGTGATTACCTACGTATAACGAGTGATTGGTGTGCCTCTTCAGTAAATATCCAGCCATGTGTGCTGTCATGTTTGTTTTTCTTCTTTTCTATACAAAAAGGACCCTGGCGTTTGGGCATGCAGTCAAGGGGGATTCTAAAGCTTCACACTTTGTAAGAAAGTGGGAGCCGAGTTCGCGTGCGGCTTGATACTGGTCTTTAAGATTCGGGATCCACATACTCCCAAACGTATACAAGCCAGTGACTTGTTTGCACCCGTGATCCATAACTGAGGTAGTACTTGATGTGTTTAGTGCATGTCCAGTTGATGTTTTTTGATCGAAGTCCGCCAGGCTTGCCCATGATCACTTAGGGCTAACCCGAAAAAAAAAAAAAAAAAACACCTTCCTTCGGAATTGCTGGAGCATGGTCTCGGTGCCGCGGCCTGCTGCGACACTCGGAAAACACGAGTCTAGGCTCCACGAGGAAGGAGCTGGCTTCAATCCATGTGACCCGGGGTTTCATCCACATTCTACATACATCAGACGACCTGATGGATGTGAGGCCAATGGGGGTCCAGGTGGATCGTCCCGGTGTCCCGGTGTGGTGAACTACCTCCACCATCCTCCTGCTGAACCTCGGTGGTTCACCCACCTGCTCATAGACTGAAAGATACTGAAAGGCTAGACAGGACGACAAAAGCAAAGAACGCTCAGAAAAAGACATCAAGAGAACGCTTAAAGACATCAAGAGAATGGTTAGCGCTTGTTCGTTTCCACCAGCGCTTAGAAGATTCCGCGGGTAAGTGAACGTTTGTTTCGCTTCACTGAAGCAGACCAGTTGCCCACTCAGTCGCGCTTCACTGAAGCAGACCAGTTGAGGTGGCTTTGATCGACCTGAGACAGGGCAATTTTAGGCGAATGCGGGATAATGCGGGTGGGTCGACCTGGAGGGAGGGAGGGGTGCATGTTTGATCAGCTGGGTGGACATGGTATAGGGGTAAGCGTTTCATGACCGACGTTTCATGTTTAGTTGATGCCTTCTTTTTTAAAGAGGCGAACAGGGACCCAAACACTAGCTTCCGAGCGTCGAGAGTCAGACCGGGCTTAGGAGGTCCAGCGTATCTTCCGAAGATTAAAACATCAGAACACATCCACATGAACCTGATCGACTCGAAATGAATAGAAATCACCTGATCGACTAGTCCTTCCACTTCTGGGAATCCTTCCACATCTGGTCACCACGGATCTGTTCCACGAACTGGTCCTTTCTGGTCTGTTCACGTTCCGTTGGGCGTGTCCGTCCCACGCCGCTTGGACGGTGGCGGCGTGCCAGGTGTAACCCGGTGCCCCTTTGGACGGTGCGTCCATTGGCTCGACTCCAAGGGATCCGAACGGGAGCTCCGGAGCGGTGAACGGGGGCATGGAAACCGAACTTAGGGGCGAACCTGGCCGTATACTACGAACGCAACAAGAAGCTACGAACGAAAGCAAGAAGCTATTAGATCTTATTAGACCTTTTTCTTCTTCCTTTTCTCGTTTTCTTTGTTTCTGATAGCGATGGCCTCCAACCTACTACCTAGATAGATCTAGATCTAGATTGAGATGAGGATGCAGTGAGCAGGATTTCGCAGAATGGTGCACAGTGCTGCGATGTTTCTGTCTTTTTGTTGGGGCCACACTTCTTGAAGGGCTGAAGTGATTTTGCAGGGTCTTAGTTTAGAACGGGCGGGCAGCCTTGCTGAGGTCATGAGAGACATCGTGGCTTTGGCACGTGTTTTTCTGTGTCGGAGAGCTCATGCTAGCACCCCGAGCGAGGCTTCGGTAGAGAAGATGTTGTGTTTTCGCATGGCCCATTTACTATTCAAGATGGACAAAACCTTTGGCTACTCACTCGACCATTATATAAAGAATGCAGAATGCTGCATTGGTATTATAACTACTCTTATATATAAGCAAGAGACATGAATATGCAGAGAGAGCTAAGTGGGACAGACTAAAAGGAGGGAAGAGGAACTATGCAACAAACATGATGTGAGTAATGCAGCTGGAATCTACTATGTCGCTGGCCAATTAATCCTCTTCCATTTGGTAAAACTCCTGAAATACCATCAACTGATTCTTCGTCAGTAATTTGGTAAGACTCTTTGTCAGTGGTTTGCTGCTTCTCAAAAAGAGTAAAAACAAAGCGCGCTTTCACAATCTATGGGCTCAGACTCAGTGAGCTTTCTTTTCAAAAGCCCTCAGACTCAGTGAGCAAAGAACAGACTCAATGATGTCCCAGAGTGGCGCCGTGGTGTGCTAGCACTAGAGCAAGTGATTTGAACATGCTATACATATTTAAGCGTAATTACTGTACAAGACTTTGGACATACACTATTCCAAGATAACAAAGAAACAGAGATAGGAATCGCTCCGCATATTGAGTTCCAAAGTGTCATCACGAGGTTCAACAACCAAGAATGGAATCTGCATTTTGAGGACACCATGATAACTCACTATACGCAAGCATTAGATGTTAGACATGTATAGACATGTATCCATTTTGTTGTTTTTTTGTGTCATCCAGTTCACAGTTAGAGCTGGAGTTCAACCCTCATCTGCTTACCTGGTCCATGTCATTTGCATCCACACACCCCTGTCTTGGCATAGGCCAATGCAGAAGGAGCAGTAACTCCGTGGTACCCCACCACATAAAACCACACCCAAGAACGCAACATGAAAAGCATAATCAAACCTGAGCCAAGAATACCAAACAACTTCTTAAACAAACGTGGACATTTTTGGTGGTTTACGGGTTACCAATGGTTACCATACATGTACAAATTAAATTTCATTACACCGGTTAGGTACACTGGGCGTATATGTGTTATGTGCTCGGCCGCCCTAGTTTGATATTTGCTTTGTTGCTGCTTAGACTCTAGTTTGCACCGCACCTGTGGGGATGTTGCTAGTCCAACAAGTCAGCTGTAGCTGCTTCTCGCTTGCCAGTTCGACCGACCACACGCCCCAACCGCCAACCGCGCCGCCCCAGCCGCTGCCAGGTCTTGTCGGAAACGGGGCTCCTGAAGACCGACACCCAGGCCGTGACGACGTGTTCGCCTGCTGTGGAGTGCCGGTGTGGACGATGGACCGTTGGTGGGTTTTCCAGGGCATAGGCGAATTCATTCGAATCAAGTGGGGCGTTTCGGCGAATTCATTCGTGTCAGGAACGTTTGTGTCTTTCTTGGTGGAGGTGTCCTTACCAGCTCAAGAAGTACGTAGCTTAATTGAATCACCCATCGCCCCAGGAAGGCGAGACTTTCAGTGGACAGCCCGGGTTCGGTCATAGAAGTTGGAGCCTTCCACTTGAATCGCGATAGAAACCCTCACCTGGCTTTGCTTATATTAGGTGATTTGTTATTTTCCCTATGTGTGAAGCGAATATGTTTTTAATAGTTTTTTGCTTTTTCCTGGTTCCTTTCTGCAAATCCAAGATCAGGATAGCACACCGCTTCAAAGCCCTTTTTACTGGTGGGTTTTGGCCGGTGACATCATCAACGGGACCATAAGGACAAGCTCCTTGAAAAGGGGATCTATAGTAGGGTATGCTTTTGCTTAAACACTTCCATTGTTCTACTTTCAATTGAGTCTTTTAGAGACTTTGCAAACTCATCATGAGATGGCATGGGCTATTTTGCAACCCACGGACCCAAGGCCCAAGGCGGTCCTCAGAGTGGCATGGCATCCCTGCCAGCGTGCTCGTCTTGGAAACACCACCGCAGCCGCTACGCAGCCGCTAAACCTTTCATCAGTGGATGGTTGAGGATGTTCCTGCACCCCAAACCAGACTGCAGTACTTGGAGGCTTCACCCCCGGGTGGGTTTTAGATATCTGACACTTTTGGCCACCAAATCAACACGTTTTTTGGACATTTTCCCTCGCAGCACCCAGTTCCAGTCCCTTTGTTGTCTCACTTTGCGAGGCAAGCTCTTCTCGATCTGTCAATTCCTGAGACACGGAAAAGAACAAACTTTATTGGTTTTACTCTTGATGAATAAATCCTTCCATTTGAATTGGAAGTCCTTGAAGTCCCCTTCATTTGTTTGACTTTTGTTTCAATTCCAGAGACACCCGGAATTCCCTGTCCTGTCCTCTTCCCGTTGGCCGCTCCCTTCTGGGCGGCCCTTCATGCCGTGCACTTCATGGGAAGTGGCAGGAGACCGAGCTCCTGAACGGGGTCTGGAGTAGTGTGTTTTTCGCATCAACGGCGGAAAAAGCTGAGAAGAAAAACACATCAAAGAGGTCAAGCGGTTCACAATAGCGGAAAACACCTGGTTTTCTTGAGTGTGCCATGGAGTGATGGGTCAGAGAATTCTGAAATGGGTGTGCCTAGGGGCCAGATAACTTGAACACTCGTGACTCATGTTACTCAGTATATGCACAATATCGAGTCTGTGTGGCCCCTTCATTGCCAGCTCAAAAGAAAAGATGCTCTAACAACCAGGTGAGATGAAGCACAGCTACCTTGAGAATCGTATGAAGCTACCAGATGTCTTGAATATTGAACTGTCCCTACTTATGAGAACTTCTGGAAGTTCGCCTCCACTCAGTCCAGTCCCTACTACTAGGTAGAACAGGTCTTCATAGGTCTTCATGTCCCCTTCGTCCCTACTTTGTGGCAAACGCTTGCGTCGGTCAAACGGTGCCTGGTGACGGTCTAGGTGGTAGCAGTTTTTGGAACATTCACCTAGATCTTCCAACTGTGCAACACGTTTGCCCTTAAAACCAGCCCAGGTTGGCAGACTTTTGGCAGTTGCAAGATCTAGGCCCACAGATTGGCAGCAACTGAAAAGTAGCTGCGTTGTCCTAGGACAGAACATGACACAACCGTCCACCCCAGCCACACCCAGTCCTTCCTTCAACAGCTGACCTGTGTTGTCACGTGGTATGTGCGGCTAGACTCGCCATGCACAGGAGACACGGATGGTGGAACCGGCCTGGCTTAGCGACGCCGCCGTTGTTCAAGTATTTGTGTGCATGACATGGACTTAGCGTGCTTCAAAGACGTTTCATTTTAACATGCTTTTACTATATATATATATAAAACTCTATAACTATGTAAATAAGAACTAGTTGTGTTTTGTTGTTTCTGTTTGCGTAGTGTCATGAATTAAACTACCATGGACCCTGAGAAAGAATACCCGTGGTTTCGACCAGAAAAAGACGCACAAGTCAGAGACAACCCATGTAGTTTTTTGGGGTTCCACGACGTGGTCCTCACCAAACAAACAAAAAAATCTTTATGTTACACTTCAAACTCCATTTCGCTGAGCCGGGATTCTTTCAGCTTCAGCTTAGCCGGATCTCCAAGCACCCGGGTCGGGGTCGACCGAGCTTCGCTTCGGCAGGCATCGGACGCTGGCACTGGTCTTGGGTTGTTGGGGTTCCCGCAGCACGGGGGGCGTGGGTGATCCACCTCCACGGGTTGCGAGTCAAAGATGGTAAAACAAACGTGTTTGCTCACTGAGGCCAGGGTCATTGGCCTAAAAATATAACACAGATCTCAGATAAACACACAATTATGCATGATGTTTTTTTCCGAATGCGTAGCGAAGGGTTCTCGTTTAACTCTGGGGGTCTGGAGGTAGAGCCTTGTTCGCGACCCGTTGTTTCTACGTCCGCAACCGTCCGCAGTAGAGCGCTAAGGCGCTGCCATTGGGGGAAGCTTTTGGAGAGGGTTTCGGATGAAAACGTGACGTGTCAGATTCGTGTGAAATAGCAAGGAGTCGTGTGGAAATGTAAGATGTTGAAGTGTGGAGGATGATTTCACTGCGCAGGCGCAGCGTTTTGTGAGATCCGCAGTTTGCTGCGCAGTTCCATTGGGATTAGCGTTGGGAGAGTCGTGTTTGTGGGGTATTGGATGTGGCTTTGCCATTGGGATTTGTGTTTCAGGGTGTGGCATCGAAGCTCTGTTTTCGTGACAAGTCTCGGCTGAAATGGCGATTTTGGTGGATGGGCGTGTGCTCAGAACGGGTCGAAATCATTCCAAACGTGTGGAGTGGTGCAAATTTTGTGGAAGCTCACATGAGATGACATTGTCACTTTTCGTGGCAGGCGCAGTACTTTGCGCGGGCTTTGAGATGTGGAAGTGCCATTGTCGTGGCAGGCACAGGGAATCGTGAGGTTGCGAGGTGTGACGGAGATCACATTTCGTGGCAGGCGCAGTACTTTGTGCACGTTAGACGTGTGGACGCGGAAAGATTCGTGGCAGGCGCAGGGAATCGTGAGGTTGTGGGTTGTGGTAGAGGTGACTGTCGCTGTCCCATTGGGATTGGCGTGTGAGCGGGTGTTGTTTGGAGGGGCTGGACTCGCGAAACTGCTTGGCAGGGTTGCGTAATGCGTGTGCTCCGATGGGTGTTTCCGCTTTAGTGTTGGAGGCAGTCTCGTACGACACGCTCGTTTTGCAGACTTGGACATATGAGTTTTTGATAGCCCCTCAGTGGGCAACCTTTAACCTGTTTTTTTCACCCTGTGGGGGGGGAGCAGGGCGCACCAAAAAAATCACGCGCGTCAGAGTTCAGAAGACTTAGAAGGAGAACGAGGAGAAGGAACTAAAGACGCACAGCCCGGAACCTTGTTTGATTTTTCTTGTTTGACAGCGTCGGAGGTATAAGCATGTAACTTACGTCTTCAATTCAGTGTTATTTTACGTACAACGTTTTGTTTTTTTATTCGACGTTTGCTGATGCAAGTTGGTGTTTGTGCTTTGATTTCTTTGAATTTGTTGACGTCTTGTGCGTGTGTGTCCAGCGCAAAGTTTTGGCGAAGACTCGTTTATTTGGAAGGGAAAGTGCAACCGCCTGCGGGCCAATTTTCCCAAAATCACGTTGCGAGTTCACAGTGGCGTTCACACCGACTTGCCAGCGCAAAGGGGGAAGTGGTTCAACGCCAACGGCCTGGGGCCACCACAGCAGAAAACCTGGTCCTTGGAAACCCTCAGCTCAAAACCAACCAACCCCAACACATGCCAAAGTCTCCGCCGGGAAATCCAGAAGAAGGTTGCAGCCACACCGGATCCCAGGTCCAGTGGCAGCAACTGCAGGCCCCACAACTGCCCCAAGAGGCTCCACTTAGTAACCATGGTGAGTATGTGTTGCCGGTGGTCCTATTTTCGGTCTGGTGGCGGCAAACCGTTCTCATGACATGTGTCAACGCCGGTGTTAGGCAGATAACGAATGTTGGTGGCACACCTGGTATGATGGTCAATACTGTTGGTATGACAGGGTGCTGCTGCTGGTACGCGGCGACCCTGTTGGTGTGGTATTTCCGCTGGTATGATGGTGTCATACCGTTGGTAAGACGGTATCGTACCGGTATGATGGTATCATATACCGGTCATACCGGTGACCTGATGGTATCATACCGGTGGCATGAGGGCCTCATACCGTTGGTATGATGTTGTCATACCGGTGGTATGATAGTATACCGCTTGTATGATGGTATCATACCCCCACCCGGCCCAGGCGTGTTTGGTGACCACACAGCAGCCTGTGTTCATGAAAAAACGCAGCATGTGCTGTGATGTACACAACATGTGTTGTGCTGTACACAACATGCGTTGCGCTGTACACAACATGTGTTGTGTTGTACACAACATGTGTTGTGTCATACAAGACAGAAGCACACAACCTGTGCTGTGACGCTCACATTGTTTGTCTACAGCGCAGCCACGCATGAAACACATGATGACCCTGGAGGCTTCACGAGCAGAGACACCCGCAACTGCCTGTACGCAACCGACACTCCGCGGTCTACAATACGCAGGCAGAAACCAGCCAGCAACCATGACATGTCGGACATGTGCTTCCACCGCCCCGTCACGTAATTAATAGTAAGGTCGGGAAGGTTTTTAGGTATGCTGAAACACGGTGTCCCACTGCGCCGAGATGTTAGTTTGGTCACTTGCGGTCACTTGCATGCGAAATGAACGTTTGACACGCCAAACCTTGGCAGCCGCTCACAAGCATTCAAGCCTCTGACGCCCACCTCCTCCTCTTGTAGTTGTAGACGCTATGGCTGCCGACATTCGTCTGACTACTCCTGCCTGCCAAGTTGTCCACCTGGTGTGCACCCTCATGCTGTGCCGGGCTGCTGTGGAGAAATGCCCTCAGAAGCGGTATGGCACTTTGCCAGACTGCTTCAGCGCCTTGCTGATGCGGCCCTTCGAGTGAACTTCACCGGAGGGCAGCCGAAGCGGGCGTGGACAAGCAGGGGCTTCTTGAGAAGATGAAAATATGTTTCTGGCCCATTGGCTGCGCAATGAAATTTTTATCCCTTGTTCACCCCAGAGTGAAAAGTATTGAAAAGTTAGAGGTTGAAGCGGCGCCGAAACTTTCATCCCATGTGAGGCCCACAGACCGGACGACAAAGGCCCAGGCCAAAGTCCTTGAGGAGTGGCCAGGGGACGTGTTTACGAACTGTTGCCCGGAAGAGACTTCAGTGTTAGTTTCAGTGTTTTTGCCCGAAAATTACATTAGCCAAACTAAACGCGGCTACCCCCAGGTTACCTGATGACGGTCCTGGCCACCGAAAAGTTTGCGAAAGCACTCCGCCAGAAACTTGGCATAACTTGGCAACTGAAATCCCTCTCCCCTCTTCCCCCTTGTTTTCGTTAATGTGTTTGTAGTAGGGCGCCCCGCCGTCGCCTTAGGACGCCTGGCGCTGGAGAGGCATCTGCGATCAAGAAGAAGCTCCTCGCTGTCTTCAAGAACAAGAACCCGGCTCTGTTCTTCACCTCGTCGTTCAACCCTGGCCGGCGTTCACGCTTTACAGTCCGTAAAGCGAAGCGGGACGGGGTGAAGACTGCACTGGGGATAGTTCAACTTAAGGTGGCCCGTCCACGCCTTAAGTCGACGAGAACCATCTGGCGCCCCAAACGCGAGATCATCTTTGAGACTTTCTCAGAATTTGACAAGCTATCATACCTTATGTTTTTTTACTTGTAAGTCCTGTTACGGTACTTATACTTATATGTAACATAAGTATACTTATGCAACTTATGGACCTTACCGAATAAGTAGCACAAGTGCGACGGTAAGTAGAACATTGTGTGTTTTTGAAGGTTTTGATTCTTTCTGTCAGCACCTGTAAATTTCAACCAGATGCAGCCGCATATTAAAAAATATATTTGGATGGACTTGGCCGTGGAAGTCTGTCTGGGGCCGTGTATAAATAGAGATCTATGCGGAGGTGTCGGAGACATAACACAAGCAACAAAAAAAGAACGCGCGGCGCGGCAGCCCCAAACCACCCCCCCAAAAAAACAACAATATTTCCCGTCCCGGTCTTCCCACAAATTTCCCACAAATGATTTCCTAATTTCTCAATCTTCCCACAATTTCCCTTATTAAAGGTAATTGGCAGGGTCTTTCCCACACTCTACCTCTCAAAAGTCTTCCCACAAATTCCCACAGTTTTCCCACAATTCCGGGCACTCCGTTTTCTTGCGCCCAGTAAGTGCTCTATAGTGGCCCAATGAGCCCGATAGAGTGGCTTCCAGCTTATACACCTCAGAGACCAGCACACCCACAGCGTCCAAGGCGTACAAGATGTCGGTCGCCAGTTGTCGCCGTATATTTGTTTCCATGCCTCCCACAAAAATGCTCCCACAGTCTATATTTGCTTGAGCCCAACTGCCAGGACAGCCCTCAAAACCTCTATTCCCATAAGTAGGTTAAGTAGAAAATAAGTAGAACATGTTTTTTTCGTCATACTTACGTTGTACTTATAAGTATGCAAAAATTTTAACATAACTAGCGCAGCTATATAAATAAGCACGATAAGTTCCAAGCAAATTTCGTAGAACTTACGGCTCTTATCATGGTTATTACTAAGATATAAGTCTAGTTGTTAAGACTTCATTGCTGTTGTTTGTTCAGAACGAACACATAGATTAAAACAAAAGGGACTCCGAACCGTTTTCTTCGGGAAATCCTTCAGGATGAGTGGCGCAATGACCCTGATGCTGTTGCCAAAGGCCAGGTTCAATTGGAAGAGTCTTGCCGAGCCAGCGCATAGGTCCAACAAATGAAAGTTTGCTATCTAGACGGGATTTGAAGTGGATTGAGGGGCTTTCCAAAGGCCCGAAGGATGGCGCAACAATTGGCCGCACTTCAAGCAGAAAGTCAAGCCAGCAGTTCCTAAGCTTGTAGACATAGCCATTGGTGTAGAAACAGAAGGATGTGAAGATACCAAGCTAGCTAGCAAGATTGTAGGGGTGGAGCTGTGATCAAAGCAACCTTCGTGAATGCTGCTTGGAGCAATTTTTTTGAATAGCCGTTAATCTTGCTTAGCCGTTCTTGCTTAGCCGCAGATTCTGCCATCACAGCCTATTGTCCGCTACCACCTTTCAGTGCCACAGGCTTTGAGCAGCATGGGCAAGGGCCGGAGCATGAAAAAGCCTTCAGCTTCAAGAAAGCCTTCTTCTCGCACTCGGGCAGAACAGCCTGGTGAGGATCAGAAAGTATATGCGCAGGGCAAGTTCGTGGCAAAGCACTTCATCAAGCAGTTTGGTACAGCGAAGCAGAATGCATTGCCTTTCAAGTGGTGTTCCGAATTCGATGGTTTGAACACTGTGAGCCAAGCTTTGCATGAGCTTCAGGTGCCACACCAGCAGCTGTTTGTGGCAGAGTGCGAGCCCACTGTGGCAGCCTTCAACCTTGCAAATTTTGGAAGCACATGTCAGTGCTTGCTCAAGGACCGTGAATTTTCGGAATTTGTTTGCTACCCTTTGGTTTTACAGCCTAGGTTATGAAGCCCTGACAGACTTGACCCCCACAACCCTTTCCTGTTCCTTGCCCCTAGAGTGGCCCAAGGCAAAGTTGCGGGGGTCAGATTGAACCCAGTTAGTTTTCGTGTCCTGTTTCCAATCACTGCTGCTTTTTGCCTGTGGCCGGCGCGTGCAGGATGTGGCGATGACTGGGCGCAAGTTCACTCAAGCACGACCGAAGCTGTGAAGTGCCACAGACAGAGGGTTGCTCCCTTTACGTTGCTGGATTTTCTTGCAAGTCCAACTCCATTCAGAACAGTGCTCGTTGGCAGGGCGGTGCGCTTTCGGCAGAAGCATCCAGCATGGAGAGCTTCGATTTGTCTGTGAAGACCTTGCAGAAAGTCACGCCTAGCTTTTTTGTGCTGGAGAACGTTCCGGGAGCGAGGCCGTGGTTTCTTTGCATTTCTGACGCTTTTTGTTGTCTACTTAATACTATCGGTTACTAGAAAGGATTGCTCATCATCGTTCGCCCTCAATCTCATAGCTTGAGTTGCTTTGCGCCTGTATAGGCTGCCAGCCAAGCCGAAGGGTGAGGAGACTGCCGAAACCCCTCTTAACAAATATCTTCGCACACTGAAGAAAAAGCTCCCCATGTATGATGTTGCAGTTGCGGACACTACTGGCTGGCCGCTGCCAGAGAAACGTTGCCGGATATGGATTTTGGGCACCAGGAGAGAGAATGGCGCCAACTTTTGGGCCCCTGTATGGGCCAGCCGCATTGCTTCGCTTCCTCAGCACCACCTCGAGACTTTGATTACGAAGAGTCTTGCAGCAGCGGCATCGACGCAGATGGTGGGCCCCCTCCTGCACAGAAGACGGCCGACAAAGCCCAGTATTGCAAGCACTTTTCAAACCTCCTGGACAAGTGCATTGCGAGCAGACCATTGCCAAGGACTGCGCCATCCCTCCAAGACCTGATCGTTTGTCGAACAAGTGTGCAGCCTTGGCGGGCCGCTCGCCCTTTTGCCGTGCCAATGCCGACTTGTTGGACATCATCATCTCACAGCATGTGTTGGCTGGGTGGAAGGTGGGCGATCTATCGCAAAGTGCATACCGAGGCAAATACGCAACAAGTGGTTCGCGGGGCACACTTTGCACCTCCACCATCCTCTTTGACTTCGATCGGAAGAAATTCCTAGACCCCATGACCCACATTGCAATGCTTGGATGGCCTACCGCTCATGAGCTTGACTACGGCATGCTTCGCCCGTCAGAGCAGCGCGAGGCCAGCGGCAATGGGATGAGCATGGCGAGCGTGATCAAGGTCTTCATTCCTTTGATGGAGGCATTGCGCTACTTTGAGACGGTGGATCCGAGCCCAGAGCCATGACCGGCTGTGCGACTGTGGCAGCCTTTGACTTTTTGAGCAGGGCGCTTTTGTGCACCAAAAGGCTTCGGTGATTGAAACCTTGCCTAACTTGTTGACTGAAACCCATGTCAAATCATGTAAGCCTGCATATTTGTGGTTGATTGAAGGCTCGCCAAACTTGGTGACTGTGAAACCTTATGTCAAAATCACACAATGCAAGCCTGCGTATTTGTGGTCTAAGTGGCGGCTCAAGCCAAGGTTTTGTTTGCTTCTCGTCCTTGTGTCAGAATCATGAGGTTTGGGTATGCACTCAATGCTCTTCAACTCCTTTTGCCAGAGAGGAAAGAGCGGATCGTTCACTTGGTGCCTGATGGTTGTGCTGGCAGGGTGAGGTACAATTGCAGCTTCTCTACCGTTTGCACGTCAGCTGGCGTGCAAGCCAGGAGCAGCAGCAAAGCTGTCCTCATTGGAGTAATCGAGCCGACGGAGATGGCCGTGCGTGACATGATCAAGTTCTTGCAGGGCAATCCTCACTTTGTGGCTGCGACCTTTATCGTGGCCCAGTGAGCAGCTTCCTGAAAGAGGTGCCGGATGTGAAGAAGCTGGCGGGCCAAAGCAATTTGATTGCTGCTATGAATGAAACTATGGTGGAGACTGATGCACCCCAGGGACTTGTGATGTTCCGACAGACTCAAGCATGCCACAATTTTGATTTGCAAGGTTGGCTGAATGCAAGGTGCAAGTCATGGCCTGCAGCAGCAAAGCGACCGTCTTCATGGGAGTGGAAGGAAAGCCCGTTTTCCACGGACGAAATCTTGGAGGTGCCCAAGCTTCCAGCCAAAGAAGGTGAAAAGCTGAGCAGCGGTGCTGAGAAGATCCGCAAAGCCTCAGAGGCTTTCGAAGGCACCGTTTGCGGGGGCAAAACTCTTTTTCTCGATGCATCCAAGAAGAAACGCTGCAGTGTTTCGCCGCCAGACTGCACGCCCACAAGCTATGTCATGATGTGCAAAGAAGGGAAGATCCATGCTTTTGGCTTCCGGGAGCACCTTGAGGTTCGAGGCTGGTTCGACGACGTGAACTTGCATCTGATGACCCTGCAGCGCGAAGCTTTTCGGATTGTCGCCACTACACCACCCAGATTCATTGCAGAGCTCCTTGTGCACGTTGGCTGCGACGCCAGCCTTGATCAGGACAGGGCTGGTATAGTTGTAGTTGCGTTTGTCGCTGCGTGTAAGTAGATCATGTTTGCCAGCCGCTTGTACTAGCCGAGCCCACAGGAAGCACCGCGTTAAGCCACGACTTCAACTTCAGCCTCAGATGACTTTCCAGAGGCCGTATATTGGCTTGCTTTGCGGATTCCATGTTTAAGCTTCTTTGCTTAGTCACCACACTCAGAGTGTAACAGTGTCCAACCCTTTTGGGGCACACCTGTGGTCCGATCCATGAGAAGACGGGCGACTGGCGCTCCTGATTGGACTCGGGGTCTCCTGCACACCTGGAACCCAAACATGATCCCCTCTTTTGATCGGAGCAAGCTGCATTGTGGCCGGTGGGTGGTCCAAAATCCAGACTTCACGAAGGATCGAAACAATTCAAGCTATCCCGCTCCGTGGCCACCTGGTGTACCTGAACCACTGAACATTTCAAAGCCTTTTTCGACTGAACGTCAAAGTCTGGGTGGCTTTTGGTCTTGGTGGGTCAACGACGAGTGACCCACAAGAGTGTCCTATAAGAGTGTCCCACAAGAAGTGTCCTACAAGAGCGTCCTACAAGAGTGTCCCACAAGAGTTTCCCACAAGAGTGTCCCACAAGAGTGTCCTGTAAGAGTGCTCCAGAGTGTCCTACAAGAGTGAAGAGTGTCTCACAAGAGTGTCCCACAAGAGTGTCCCAGAACAGTGTCCCGCAAGAGTGTCCTACAAGAGTGTCCCAAAACAGTGCCCCGCAAGAGCTTCCTACAAGATTGACCCACAAGAGTGTCCTACAAGAGTGTCCCACAAGAGTGTCCTACAAGAGTGTCCTACAAGAGTGACCCACAAGAGTTTCCTACAAGAGTGTCCCACAAGAGTGTCCCACAAGAGTGTCCCAGAAGAGTGTCCCACAAGAGTCCTACAAGAGTGTCATTTGGGCATATGGAACGTGTTTGCATTCGGGTTCGTGGGTTCCATCTTGTTTTGTTTGGAGCGTTCCTCAAAGCGATTCTTGCAAGAAGGACCTCGCATGACATACTCTTTTTGGTGTTCACCCTGAAGCGAGCAACGATGTAGTCTTGCTGAACGGATCAAACCTGACCTATGCATGGTCCAACACAAACAGAGCGGCATGCTTCCGTTCTCAATGTGTGGAAACCAAACAAAGTTGTCTCCTGTCCGCCGATGCTGAAGATTTTCATCCAGACAAACATCTCAAAGCTACCTAAGTTAATCCTAATTAGTTGTTTGGTGCCCAAGTCCTTGGAGAGTGCTCCAAACCTCCTGGCAGAAACTGTTGAGCAGCTGAGGCAATCTCCTGCATGGTCCCCCGTTTTTCCATCTGTTTCCACAGTATTTCGATTTAAGATCGTTTCAGAGTAGATGGAACAAACCCACGTCGCCATGCTTTGTATATCGGGGGGGGTTCCACTAAATCCACCCCACTTGGGGGCCCAGACGTGCGCCCTGCGTGCAGCACTGCCATCGGGGTTCGACGGCCCCATCGTTCGCTCTGTTGGTTCCAAAAACCCATGCTTGTCAGCTATCCTATTCGATTTATGGATGGTTTGCCATTGCATATTACCAGGACCCTCCTGTCGGGGTGTCCAATGGAAGCCTATAGGTAGTGTGGGCTAGTCCATTGGACACCCCTTGGATGGTCCTGGTATACGTCTTGTGTTTTTTGTTGCGTGTTTTTTTGGATGGACGGGTTGCTCAACTGCTGCTACCGCTGCTTCGTGGTGACCGGAGCGAGCGCCACTAAGGTTTGTTCTCCTGTGGAGTGTTCCTTTGGTATGACAGGTGCGCAGAAGGATGAGAATGACAAATTACAAACCAGGTGAAACTGGAGGGTGATGTTGGATTGGTTCTTGATACCACAATAAACCTGTACCATATGTTAAGTTGGAGAGCTATACAAATGACCATGGTCTATTCACCAGAGGCATGCTCATAGGTATTGTTCTTGAACTGCAGCCTGGAGGCGGTCTGTAGCATTGTGAGACAACAGTTAGATTGATCAAAGAGGGTCAAAGTGTATGTTCTGCCGTCTTTGCTTCTCAAATCGTCCTTGGAGTCTTAAGCCTGCCGGAGACGTCTCGCTTCAAAGACAAACGATCAAATGGCGACGTCGAATCTTGCGGTGCGAAGAAGACAAGACAGTTGACTGGCTGAATGTCTTTGCTACATGACCACATGACAGTTTGGGTGTGAAGATTGCAGTTGTTTGTTGGTCGATTTCCTATGTCATGGCTCAGCCAGCATTCTGAAGCTGAGCTCAGCCGCCAAGCTTTTTAAAGTTCAGTTGAAGAGGGAGCCCAAGAAGACGCTGCCAATCCATCCCATAAAAGTAAGCCCCTGTCTTTAGAGCTATTAGAGCAATCACAGATGTTTTCTTTCCGGCTGTTTCGATTCCAAATGCTTCCAATATCATATATTCTATTCCACCTACTCGCATGAAATCGCCTGCCAGGTAGGTCGCCACAGCCGTTGGCTGGGAGCTGCGTATCAAATCCAGCAAATATTTTTGCCTGAACAGGTATGGAGCCCGCTCGGGCCCCAAAGAACAAATTCACAGCCCGGCGGCCCAGATGGTTTGCTGGGCAGAAGGAAGTGTACAAGTACTGCATTGTGTTTCACCTTCGCGGGGCAGTTACTGTATAACTATATATACTGTATATATATATATGCATTATTTATAGTGTGTTTTTTCTATACATATAACCAGCGGGGGTGCAGTGATGTCCATTGCTTTCTTCAAACCATTGGGCATTTCTGAAGTCCCGAAGTCCCAGACCAGGCATTTCTGCGTGCCTTTTCTTCCGAAAAAGGCACGCGGGCCGAAGGGCTTGAGAAGCAAGAACACTCGGATGTTGGTCCGAGAACCGAGCACTAAGAGGATGTGAGATCGCGAGAGGGCCTGGTTTAGGTGGTCCTCGTAGATCGTCCGGCCGAGGTAGCTCGCAGTTCGATGTGGCGTTCAAAGCGATCATGGACGCGTGTGGAAGCTCGGGTCCACCATGGTGATATAGGGGACCCGACTGCTTACATCTCACTCTAGCGCACCACAGTAGCCAACCCGACTCAGTTTTCTAGGCACTGAAGGGTTTGAGATGCTTTTTCCGGTCAAACAGCGTTTCTTTTTGAGATGCTTGTGGTGGTTCCCATGTGAGGATTTCGGTCGACTTGGATACACTCACATACTCTTAGAGACCAGCTGTATGCCCATGGCATTGTTTGACCATCCCATTCTTCTTCGGGGAAAACCCTGGAACACCCATTTGGCCAGATGTAGTGGTTACAGGAGCTACTGGCCATCCCATTTGACCATCCCATTTGGCCAGATTTGGGATTGGCCACTTGCTCCTGCACTGCTTTCTGTTCACTCAGGCAGGTGTCCGTCTCGCTCCATCAGGCAGGGCGAAGGGTTCTGTTCACTCGGCGTGTTTGTGGACATCCCGGTCTGCATCTAGCTCGGGGCTTTGAATATGCATTGCATAGAGCCCTGGTGGAATTTCTTTGCTTGGGCAGTCATGGAGATGATGCAGCCATGCGTCATATTTAGACGGAGTTGTTCGCCTTCCTGATCCTGAGTTGGAGTCGAGGCGAAGCCACCGCCCACACCCAGTAAGGCACCAGAGGCGGGACCCGGTGAGGCAAAGCCAAGTGGCCATGAGACTTTGCGTTCGGAGAGCCATGCTCAAGTGGCGATAATTTTGGAATATGTTCATAATATGTTCGAGGCTTTTTGATGGTTGACTTTGGGATTGAGCCAAGAAAGGGGACATATATAATATAGATGTCTACTACATCATACTAACCTCGGAAAACCAGGTACGGTATGTATGTTACCTTGTTGGGGTTCTTGCTCAATATACATTACGAACCCATACATACATACATACATACATACATACATACATACATACATACATACATACATACATGCATGGAGCACTACATCCACCAAAAGGCACCCAGACATCAAGGGCGGCAAACCAAGCAACACAAAAAGCAGCTGGTACAGCACGGCCGCAAGCCTTGGCAGGCCCCATACCACCGGTGGCAACCACATCGAAGCGGATATCAGTGCAGTGCCTGTGGTGAAAGAATACACCAAGCCCTTACCGCCAACATCATAGAGGACCGGCTTGGTCAGACCTGCCCACAGCTCCACCTTGAAGAGCACTACCCAGAGCAGCATAGTCCACATAAAGCCATGCCAAAAAAGCTCACCAGAGCACAGGTCATCGCAGACCTGCTCAACCAGCAGAAGGAACAAAAGTCAGACAGCCAACGCACCCTTGAAGAAACAAAAGGGTACTTGAAATGTACCACATGTGGCAACAGTGTGCATAAACGCACCAATGAAGATGCTTTTCAGGCTTTTGTCAAAGGCCCTTGCATCAACCAACTCTACGAACAGAGCCATCCTGGCCATGTTAGCCATGTCCTCTGGCAGAGAGGAGACCGGCTACAGTGCAAGAACTGTGGCACACAAACACAGCTCGATGCACACTCTCGACCAATCCTCACCAATGCATTTCGAAAGAATTGCAAGGGTGCGGCACCAGCAGGGTCACCACCTCTCACAGAAATCTTTCGCAGGCAAAACGCCAAAGCGAGCCCAGCAGATGGCAGACACGCAGCGTCAGGCATTGAGGCCACACTCACACCTGGACCTCTGCCAAGTGCCTCAGTCCCAGCAGGCCATGACACCCAGCCCGAAGGGATACCACAGGCACCAGACCAAACCAGAGAAAACATTTCGCCACTGGCACCAAGGCAGCTCAAGTACAGTGATGCCACCTCTGTGAGCTGGAGGTTTTGATGGAGATCCGATTGGGCACTCTCAGCTTCATGAACCGCCCTCTGCTGGCAGCCACCACCCAGCAACCACAGGCCATGATACCCAGCCAATCTGATTGCCAACACAGCTGCCCACAACACCGGAAAGTGATTTCCCTCCAGCAAGCAAGAAGATCAAAACCAAAGCAACTGCGCCAGCCAGCTTGCCATCGGATCTCATGCCAAGAGATGTGCAGCTGAACAAGCGGAAGAAGAAAGTGGTGAGGACGATCCCTACACCGTCGATTTCTTCTAGCTGGAGAACTGGCAGCCGCCGCAGCTCTGGCCAAAACGGCCTTCGTTCAGCAGCAAAAGTCCCTTTAGGAAAAAACATACATACATACCTGTAATTTGGAGGTATGTGACGTATGTATGTATGTTTCGTAGGAAACATAGATACGTCGAAACGAGAAGTATGTATGTTCCTGGGGAAACATACATACCTGGAAACATAGGAGTACATATGTTCCTGGGAAACTAGAGGTATGTATGTTCCTGGGGAAACATACATACCTGGAATACATACCTCCAGTTTCGACGCGTGTATGTTTCCCACGGAACATACATACCTCTATTCTTGCAGTAAGTACGTTTCTTAGGATCATACATACATACATACCTCACCATGGGGGGGAGGGCATGGATACCTACTACATCATACATACTAACCTCGGAAAACCAGGTACGGTATGTATGTTATCCCCCTGGGGTTCTTGCTCATCATATAATATATAATGTATAAGGATTACTATAGTTACTATATACTTGATGATACTCGGTGTGGAGAGAGTTTACAAGAGGCCAACCGGCTAATAGCAAACTGTTCCAATCAGCAGTGGCTAAACAGACAGTAAATTCAGCTGTTGGGCCTGTTCTGGTAGTTTCTGGTGCCCCAACTGGTGGGATTTTTTTTTTTTATGGACATCCTCTTTCACTAGTGACTTATGATTGTGTGTACGAATCGTAATGATGAAGCAACTTGGGTAGGCCGTTCTATTGTACTCGATTGCGAGCGGTTTCAGGAATGAAAAATTGAGAAGGGCATGGCCACATCTTTCCACAAACTTGGTTGAACCAACGAGCTGTAGGACAAGTGGCTTCTAAGCCTAAACCAGCAGGGTGAAGATCCATATTTGGTCATGCTTCAGGCCACTGGGAAATGGATTTCGCAGTTGGCTTCCAGGCCTATTTTAATTAGGTTTCCTTTAGTCTTTAGTTTATATTACCTTTAGGGTCCATATAAGCCACCTTTTGGGGATTGTGCCATCTACTATCAATCCACTATAATATATCTTTCAAGATGCCTTCTTCCAGCATCATGGCCCCACATAGGTTTGGTACACACTCCCACGGTTTGGTACGAGTTTAGTCCATGAACCCAGCTTTCTAGGAGGAACCGTGAACGGGAACCACAATGTTCATCCATGTTCGTGGTGGCAGAGTTCCAATGACTCACCAAAGATTGGGGAAACTCACCCCAATGCTGGTCCTTGAGTTGTTTCCCGAAGAAACATGCTTTCAATGGACGAAGATTGGAGTGTTTTGGACACGAGTCCTATATCTTATGCTTACCATATATACCTGGAACCTGAGTGACCTCTATTTTGGACCACCCCAACATATGTTTTTTTCCTATCAAAACAGAGGTCAAATCGGTTCCAGGTATATATTGTAATATATATATATACACCGGTATACCACAAATGTTCATTTGCATGACTTCTTAGATCTTTGGAATTCGGAACTGCTTGATAAGTCTCATCTTAGGACTTTTTAGGCACGCTTTCTTCACATCAGCCGACCTTTTCTGGACACCACCTAAAACCCCGGGATGGAGCTAAAACATGCTAAAACGAAGACTTCCAGTCTTCACTCAACCGCGCGCAGCAGCAGCAGCAGCAGCAGCTCGTAGGTGCCCAGTCCTGCGGTGAGCTTCCAGCAATGGCCGAGCCTCGAGTCCTGCGAGGCCTGGGATCCAAACGATCCGAGCGTCGTCACATCCATCCGTGCATCGCTAGTGGCACGGTAACGGAACCCTGTGGCACGGGCGAACAAGTAGATATGCACAGGAAGTAAGAAGCACGTAGCGATGCACCAGAAGCTATACTAGTAGAGTTTGGGGCCCAGCAGATCACGTGGAGACTCGGTCTCTTTGACCGGGAAGGTCGTCTTGAGGCGGAGAAGAGAAGTCGGAAGGGTCCTTTTGGAGAAGCGTTTCGGAGACAGATCTCCGAGGTGGCTGCTCTCCAATTCGGAGACAGAGACCTCAGCCACCTCAGACCTGCGTTTCTGGAACAAGAAGCACATGTTGATGCAAACCTGAGGTGGCTGACTTTCTACAGGTCATGTCAATTTTTTTCTCGGGCAGGAGTATGTTGAGTCATTGAGAGGGAAATTTGCAAGATATGTGATCCGCAATCAAGTGCTTGAAATATGGCGACTCTTCGGGAAGGGTGAAGCTTCAGAGATGGAAGGGCTGTCGGGAAGGGCTAAGGCTAAGGATGTTGGACATTGATGGACACGGTGTCACCCACAGATTTCCAGATTTCCTGGAGACCTTGAGAGCCTAGAACTCCTGGTAAAGGAAGCTTGTTATCCTCTGAATCATGAGGATGCAGGAAGCTGGATCGGCCCGAAGCAGTTTTGTTCATCCAAGTGTTGGAGGAACGACATCCGACATCCTCCACTCCACTCGCACTCCATATAGGCCCAAGGCGGTACGTGCATAGGCCCGAGGCGCGAAGCCGCGGTGGTGCCCCTCCGATGAGGTGATCTACCATGATCCCAGTTCGAGACCTGGCAGGCTGGTCGATGCACATGAGTTACTGCGAACAAAATGAGGAGAAATATCTACGTTCGTAGCTTCTTGCTACTAGTAGTAGTGCCCTTGTTACTAGTAGCTTCTTGCCACTAGTAGTAATGCCCTTGTTACTAGTAGCGATGCCGATGCCCTTGTTACCAGTAGCTTCTTGCTACTAGTTCTGGGAAGGTGCACAAGACTATAAGTGGTATTTGGCTGGGATCTAAAGCTTTTGTCGGGGTGAGTTGGCCCTGGCGGCCTTGGGGGTGGAAGCAGCTCCTCAATTCTGATCCTTTTTTTGAGTGATATGGAACAAGCCTTGAGAAAGGGAGAACATGTGCAACCTCTGTACCGACAGGTGTAAACATGCGTAAACTAGCCAGTATCTAGCCAGCCTTTGTCTGAATGCCGAACAGTGGCTTGCCAAGAGTGGCATTAGACTTATATCAATAAGCTGTCACAGCAGTTCCGGGCCTTGCCAAGGGGGATCTGTCTGACAGGCCATGTTTGCCACGACCTGAGAAGCAGCCTTACAGGAGCGGAGTGGAGACCAGAACTGGAGGGTCTGAGGGTTGATACAGTACATGTAGCAGACCGTTTTCGAGGTGTTTTTTGTTTTTCTTATGATCATTAGCCAACAAAGGGGCTTCGCAGATTGCCAATGTTGTGACGTGAGCAGGAACTGGGTTCTTCATGGTTCTTTTGTGAACTGAATGTCCGCAGCTGACTGAAGCCACAGGAGCGACTCTTATTCCAAAAAGTACTTGGGAGAGAGGGCCTATCTAGCAGCGGCGGGTGTGGTCGATGAGGAGGATTGTCACTTGACATTTTGATGCGGAGTTCAAGAGATGAAGGCGGTGACCGGAGGGGTTGACCTTCTCTTGTCCCCGAAGCGCCTTGACTCCTTATGTTTTTTTGTTTTTCCTTTTGGGGCTGGAACACGTATTTTGGGGTGGTACTCAAGACATCCAAGGGCCTGAAAAGGACACGTTCGTCAGATGATGGGCGGATGGAATTCGCACCAACCCTTCCACATGTACCAGCTTTGCCCACGAAACATCATCGTCACAGCTCAAGCTGGATCTTGTCCAGCTCTTCGGTTGACCAGAGAACCCGTGAAGTGCGCTTGACAGCGGTTTCCAAGTTAGTGCCAAGACCTGTCATGTCTCTTGACCAAGATCTGTCACCGCCACCACCGGAAGGATCCCACCAGGCCCCACCAACACCAACATCACTCTTTTTGGAGCAGTTCTTGTTGATTCACAAGATCCTGGACCACCAAAAACATCAATGGAATTGAATGTTCGAGGCTTTTGGTGGAGATTTTGTGCAGATCCTTCAATCACATCCTTCAATGACGTCCTTTAAGAACGGCCGAAAGCCTTCTTCATCAGATCTGAGGTGATGGCTGGCGCTTGTTTGGTGAAACTCAGCTCATCAAGTCTGGGGGTCCAGAGCATTGTTTGCCCATCAATTTCCGGGGTGTTTGCTCTAACATGGCCCAAGCTCGCTCCCAGATCAAGGCAGACTTCTCGCCTTTTACGGCATGGAGCTGTTCGGCACATGTCACATGCTGCATGTTTCTACTAATCGGTCAATCTGGTGAAACACCACATGGCACCGGCACAGCATAAGAGAAATATCCCAAAGAGTTCGAAGAGATGGTCTTAGGCCTTTGAAAGTTGCCCCATGAATTCTCATCAGGGCGCCTACAAAACTGGCGCCCAGGCTGGGTTTACCGATTTGGAACGAAGCAGTGTCAAACTCCAGTCATCCAGAGATGTAATATCTTGCCGCGCAAACAGTTCAGGAACGGGGAAGGAACTTCCACAGGTTTCAAAGCATTTCCATGGACAGTGGACAATGCTTTTGACCCGCGCCCGCACCTTGAACATGGCTAAAACCAACGCAGCAATGCTACGGTGAGCTGAGGACATGACCTGGTGCAAGCGAGCCTTTGCGAGCCGAGAAGGCACTGAAGAACCCGACGGAGCATCTCGGTACGATCGAACCGGGAGAGTGGCCGAAGCTGTTAACACCAAGAAAGTAGTTGGTAGGGCCTGGAGTTCCTGTTTTGGGTAGTATTTGGCAAGCTGGGCACCATAATTGGGTTATTGTCCACCAGTGGTGTTCCTGTTTTGGGCACCAGGGTTTCCGGGCACCAGTAGTGTTCCTATTAGGTGGTTCAAGTTTGATAGTTTTGGGTCGTTGTTCGGTTGTGTTTTGGGATAATGTTTGGATGTGGACAAACTTGTCCGAGAGCTGATGCAGTGAGTCTTTTTCTCATGCCATGAAGTATGATCCATCCTGGGGTCCAGATCAACGCCAGGTCTGTGATGCACGTTATGCTTAACCAGCATAGTAAAACTACTTGCAGTTTAATACATTTCAAGTTTTACAAGTTGCATTATATGCATCACCGTACTACAAGTACTCTGCACGCATCCACAACCATCCATGTTTGGCAGACTTCGAAACTGTGTCACATCTCACCCGAACTGGCTCTTTCGTTCGCCACGTCATCCATGCCGCGTTGGCTGTGTGCACCTGAGGATGTCATCGGCTTGTCCTACGGTATCGAGCAAAGAGATTTATGGAGTGAACTTGCCATGTGGCTCACACCTGGGGGGAGAGGGGGAGAGAAGGTCAGGAAGAGGCATAGAAGAGACCAGGGGCGGTTGAATCATCCAAACAAACGTCTCAACAGATATCTCTGCGTGAGTTGGCTGCAAAACAGAAATGGCTTGGTTGTATGTGAACGACTCGTCTTGGGACTTGTGTCCCTTTTGCCACCTTTCGCAGAGGACAAATGCAAACAATGAATTGTAGATTGCAAGTGAGTTTCAATATGTTATATACATATTGATGAAACATGATAAAACGTTGTGGTGTGTGTGAATGCGTCCGTCGACCATGTTCATACAACACCGCATGTCTTCTTTGCAGAGCCAGCAGAGCCCTTCCAAAAGCAACCCATTCGGTGCTGCATCTTGGAACGAGTGATGAGCCAGTCGCGCACGCAGCGACCCTCAACTCAAAACGCCAGTGATCAGAAAGGATGAATGAAGGACGTCGCGAGGCTTCCTTTCAATTTCTCTATATGCTTTGGTCAAGTCTTCTTCGGTTCAATCCCCATGTGTTGCTCGATGTCCAATTTGTGTTTGATAGATGTTGAGACCTTGTGTTCCAAACAGATCATCATGTTTAGATGGAAGCTCACCTCGAAAACTCGTGCAGCCTGAATCATCCCTTCATTCACGCGATGGAAGACGCATCATGTAGGAGCACCGACACTCAAGAGCAAATCTCCATGCGTGGCTGAGCCAAAATATCATTCGTTTCTGATCACAGGACAACTCCAAGACAACCAGCTCAAATGACCAAAACCATTGCATAGACAAGATGATACAAGTGGTTCATTATTCGGTGTGGCCTCCCAACCAAATAATTTAAATGGAGCTGCAGCTGCAATAGGATTTTTCAAGTGATTCTTCATTCGTTCAACACCCTGCCATTTCGGGTGACCAATTTCATTCATCGCCTGAGGTCAGCAACGACTATGGAGTGTCTTGGCCTGGAGATTGGTGGAGACTGGTCTTTCTGGATGAGTGTGTATCCCCCAGAAAGGGAAGACCCGCCTGGTTCGGAAAACAGGCCAGTCTACCCTGGAAGCTTTCAGACCTCCCCTTCTACTGTCGGGTGCCGCCGGGTTTCTACGTCAACAAACGTTACATACATCAGCTGGCGGGCGCCTTACGACCTGTCAGGGATACACAGGACAACCAGGTCCCCGTGAAAAGGCGGCTCTTGTTCCTTTGCAGAATTAGTGGAGAAGATGAAGTGCTTGGTGTCTGCTCCAATCACCTTCTTCGGATTTCGCCTTAGGGTTTTCAGACTTGTAGCTGAGTTTAGCTGGCAGAAGACGGTACGCAACTAAAGTTCAACGCGGGACTGTTTCTGAACATCTTGCACTTCATATTATCTCTTCATTGAAGAAAGCTATAAAAGGGTGGGCTAGTTGGCTACCCGGTCGATGGGCCACCGATGCCGATCCTTCCTTCCTCAGCTCAGGTGCGAACCCAGCTTTTTGACTGCTATCAAAATCCCAAGGAGCGTGGGCTGAGACAACAAAACATGGGAATTTCATGTGGGTCCAACGCTAGAACCTCTAATTCATTGATGAATTCGGTTGGCATCCCCAAGATTGGTTGACCAGAACCATCTCAAGCAATGGATTCTCAGTGTTTGGGCATTGCTTCCGTGACCCCACGATGGCGTCTGAACGGCTCGTCGTTGCCCCTGTGTGGGCCATTCCGGTCCAAACATGGGCATGTGGTGATTTGGAGATTTGGACTTCTGGGTCAGGGCTGAGAGGGCACTTCAATGAGTTTGGGGCTCTGAAATTTGGACTGCACTGCCGCGAGAAAGTTGACACACCCCTTGGGCATGCTCGAAGTTCTTCACCGCTGCATGGAACATCGCTTTGCATCGAAATGACGGTCATGAAAGAGTGCGTTCCAACGCTCAAAAGAAGTGGATGCAATCTAAACGGTAAGGAATTGGATTCGTCCTACGCACCCTGCCGGTTGCATCATGCAGGGTTGTGGTTCATCGGTCTTCATCGGCTTTTGATGATGTTTTGATATCTGTTGATATTGTGTGCTCTTTTTTTTGAAGGGTGCAAGGTGCAAGTGCTATGTATCAAGAAGTACCAGAGGTCGGAACACGGCAAGCTTACCTGAGTGACCAACAAGTAAAAATATACCAAACAATATACACCACTCCTAGAGTCTTAACTCCCGGAACCTCCTTTGTGTTGAAGAACCCATGAGCCAGGGATGTGGAGGAAGCAGGGTTTTGGGTGGACATGCAATGATAGGTATATGGGGAATCCTACCGCTTGACCCTGCTGCCTCCTGGTCCTCGCTCATGGGCTTCAGCAAAAGTTGGATTTTTGCATGTCGTGAAAAGCACAGACTTTTGTTCTTGACTGTCCTCAGGCGTACTGTTAGACCCTTAATTAGTCCTTTTGGTTTGGAAAGGATTTCTTGTTAAACCACTGAAGGTTAAACCCTTAGCAAAGGACCGGCCTGGACAGACAAGTGCTGAACTGTGGAAGACCTGAATTTGCAGCGGAGCAACCACGCCCATCTCGCAAGGACTCACCACCGTTGGGGGGAGAGGCGGTGAATGGCAGCAGCTGCCAAGGGGTCAATGGCCATTGCGACTTGGAGCATATGACTGGAGCGGGCAGACTGGCTCGTACCTCCAGATTTCGATTCTGAATAAGTGAGTCAAAAGTGAAACAAATAGCTTCAGAACAAGAAGGGCTACTTCAGCACTCATTCTCAAACCCCTCCTTCAAATTGGCATCTGGCTTTTTCCCAGCCTTTCCAACATCCAACAGTTTGTTCCAGGGCTCCAAGCCGCTCCTTCGCCATGAGGCTATGAGGTGCCATACCAGGCGTTCCGGATCTGCTTGGGCGGCGCTCTGGACGGACGGCAGACGCGGGATGGGCGGCAGTTCGTGGCTTGGTGGGTGAACGGCGCGTGCACCGAGACCTTCTTTGGGTGTCCTGTCTGGAAATACCCAAGTATGTTGAATTCATGGGGTACCGTCTATTGGAGTGTCCCCAAGGAATGGTCCAGGTATATATAGGATAGTTGAATACACATTACTGTGTGGATCTCTGTGGTAGTGTGTACGACGGATGTAATTTGTAGAACGAGACGGAACAAGAAGCAGAAGATGCAAGGTCTGACTGTAACAAACAACAATTGTAGGAGAATCGTATACAGGCTCTTATTTTTCTCCTGGGTTGTCCTACTATATAATATCAGTGCTCAGTACTATATCCCAGACGCTCCATGTATGCCATATATGCCTACATTGATTTCTGAAATCAACCGAATGTAGCCATATATGGCATACATGGAGCGTCTGGGTATATATGGGAGTCGTTCTAAAATCCGTGTAATGTTTTTAGTGGACGAGTGACATTCTAGCTTTTTGAAGTTATGTTTACCTGCAGGGGCGAAAGGATGCGAGAGCGCGGCGAAAGGTTTGGCGAAAGGCTAAACTTGATAGAAATATATCATGGATAATTCATACATGTATGCACATGTTGTGCATATATATTTGTGTCTAAAACAAACAGAGAGAGTGGTTTCCATGCAAGGCGTGATAGGCAGAAAGCTGCAAGAGTAGTGGCTCAGCATGTAATATCCCCAAGGATATGTATCACCAGCTTAGTGAACACCCCAGCATGTCATAGATGCGTACGAAAAGAAACAGACAGCAATAAGAAATCTTGCAGACGGATCACAAGAGAAGATTCAAGTAGCAAAATTCCCCAAACCGAACGAGGAAAAACGCGAAAGCTTCGCGAAAGCGACGCGCAAGGTTGGCGAAAGACGAGCCTGCCCGAAACCATCGGGAGCCCAAATGGGCTAGTCCAGAGTCCATGCCATGTCGCATCTTGCTTTTCTTTTCCAGGAATGGATGAACAACAACTGTCCCGAAGCCAAGCGCCCCAACCGCAACACCACCTTGCCCAATGCAAGTGCCAAACCTCATCAGTGACAGGGAAAAAACTGCAAGAAGTCATGCGAAACAATTACTTCGAAGAGGGAGTCGATGGCAAGAAAAGAAGCAGGCTGCAACGAAAGATGTCTGAACGCCCATGAAGGAGAAAAGATCTACCGAGCGCCCTTGGAATAACGGGAACCAAAAACCAAAGTTATCCAGAATCCACAATCCACACTCCCCAAAGTAGTAAGTAGCAGCGGCACATTTATTGTTGCATATACGATGGATGAACTTTTGTGGCTCTACTCAGATCCTCCACCTCATATATCCTAATACATTTTACATTGGGGGCGAAAGGATGCGAAAGATCCGCGAAAGCGCGGCGAAAGAACAATTTTTGGGAACCATAATTTTGAACAACCCCCATATATATATAAACATATAGTTGTCATAGTCCTGGAAATTCTCGTGTAGATCAGCCCTTTGAGACTTACAGGTCCGAATCGTTATTTTCTAGCTTCATTTGTTCTCTCATTCTTTCTTGTTTTCTCTAGTATCGGCGTGGTGTGTTTGGCCACCGACCATCTGTTTTCCATATATCTAGAGCAGTGTTACCTGGTAACTACAGTATACGTTCCTCGCAATTCCTCATTTCTGGCGGAATTATATGGGTGCAGAAAATAGGGAGACCATCCCAGGCCGAGGCGTTCCCCCTGTGTTTGGTTCGGAACAAAGGACCAGCCTACCCAGCCAGGGGCGGGATCCTACATCTCTCTGTAAGCACTACTACGCCTCCATACTTCTCCACCTCAAACCCTAAACCCTACACCATATTGGGAACTTCCAGAGTCTTCTCCACCTCCGCTCCGCCCGAGCTGAGGAATCCTTGGTGATGCATCTGAAGTCTCGGCATCGCCTCTCCGTGCATTTGAAGATCGACACCGAAGGCGACCGGGTCGGGGCCGGTGTCCGCTTGGCCGTGGCGGTGCCTCAGGGGAACATCGACGGTGTTCAGGAAGAAGGAAAGCCACTACGTTTGATACCTACTATTTCAGGTTGTTGGCAAGGTAGGTCTCCTGAGTTGCAGACTGAGCCATCCACATCAGGTCCACATCCAAGATTTTCTTCCGGAATCCCCCGCCCATCGGACCCCGCCTCCTTTCTTCTTCCTGTTCCGCGGACCGATCTCGCAGGCAGCGAGTGGGAAGAGCTGGAATGGCTCGTACAGTCCCCGGAGGCGATGGATAAGATCCGCACCTTTGACATGGAGGCACCTTTCCCTCACGGCCTCATGTCCACAGCATTGCGCTGTGTGAGACCCATCGCATCCGTCCCATGCGTCCCATGGTCCTGGCGCTCCGGGTTCCAGCGCGGCTGCTGGTGTTTTTGCAGGTCACTGATGAGCAGTCCATCTTCCCATAGATGAGGGTTTTGTTCTTCACGCAAGTCCTCTTTTCGTTTGGCACGCGTGACGGTGCGGTACCGAGATTGCATATATGGCAGGAGTCAAACACTTCCTTTTTTGGGGGGGTCCGTTCTGAGGGCGGCGTACGCGGCAGGCAGCTGTAAATTGTTGGTAGCTTACAGTTGGATCGAGCCAGCTTTGATGGTGTTCCACAATGGAGACATTGGACTAGCAGACCCCCTCTTCTAAAGGTCCCCACTTGGCAAACATTTCTCTAAGCTGTAAATCCAGTTGATGTGGCTACGTCCTCGGATTGATCAACCATGGCTGAGCTGCAGTTTCCAGACCGGGCCGAAAATTCATTTCAGTGGGCCGTTCTTCTTTCTGCAAAATCTGCTGATCCGCTTAGCATGTACACTGTACACTCCTCAAGCACACGGAACGAGGTTATGCCACTTGAGGACTGCATAGAATATGTAGTGTCACTAGTGCAGAAAGCAGGTTTTGGACGCAGGGGGCGTCTTAGTTACAACATATCTCAAAAAAGCTGCTCGCCGCCAAAGCGGCGCATACATTGTCGATGCGGCGCTGCAATCTTGTCGAGGATGTTGATATGATTGTTGCCAAACTGCTTCTTGTGACATGCTTAAGCCCCGGAGAGGCTGTTTCGTGGCTGCTTTGCTACGCGGCACATGCTAGGGTCGATGGAAGCCCGAGCCATGGAGCCTCATCCGCAACAAGGACAGGAGAGGCGGTTCTTCTAAGACAGGTTGAGCTGGACACTTCAGCAACCAGCGCGAACTTGTGGTGCGTCAGGCGTCAACTGGATCTGCTTTCCACCCTACAGTTGTACAGTACACTCTCATTTGGGCTCCACATAGTGTAGAAGTTGAATTTCTACGGCAGCTTACCAAATCGCCCAACGACCGCCGGTTGCTAATATCCCTGGTTTTGTGCTGCTGTAAGCAGGACCTTGCTGTCGTGACCCTGCAGAAAGTGCCAAAACAAGTGCATGCGCGTGTTCTTCAAACGTTTTTCTGGCTTGGGGCACCAGTGGTGGTAGGACAATTGATGATTTTCAGACATATTATATCCCTAAACACCGCAGCCCGCAAAACAAATTTTTTGGGTGGGGGCAAGTTTCAGGCGAAGCTCAAAGAAGCAACGCAACAGACCATTTTGGTGTCGTTTTTGTTATATACTATACTTCATCGTTTTTCCATTTCTGCATAATTTTGGTGTCAGGTGGATTTTCCTGCGTCGTGCTTTCCGGTGAGACCGAAGGAACCTATTTTTCATCCCTTCGGAATCACCCGGAATTCCCTTCACCATCCTGTTGGCGGGTTTCGCCCTCGCGTCGTCCCCACCTCCAGGTTCACATCGGTTGGCTCTCGGCGTCAGCCTCGAAGGAACGGAGGCACCTCACGCCCAAGGAACGAATTGCCCGCGTTTCTGGGCGACCCAACAAGGGCGTCGGAAACGCTTGGGTGTCGTTGGACCGTGGTGAATCACCCGTTCGGGAAAACGCAATGGGGAGCATCAGTTTTTTGTCACATGACTATCACATCCACCTATTATAAAAACATGCCCCCCCAAATAAGAGAAACTCGGTTGCATTTTTTGATATATATATAGGGTCCCTGAAATCGGGGGGGGTCCAAAATAGGGTCACCTGGGAAGAGCTTCAAAACAAAAAATCTCCCAGAAAATTTTTATACAAAATCCCGTATTATGCCAAACCTCCAGATCGAAGGGTCTTCCTTCACCCCTACAAAAACCTTAATTGGAACACGGATTCTTCATCAGACTAACAACTAAAGCTTTCGAAAGGTGGTGTCGCTGTGCCATGCGGTTTTGCGCGACCTTGGTGGCAAGTGCGTTTGGGTGAGTTTGTGCCATTGGGGGAAGGAAAACCTGCTGGTGTAAACGCGGCATGTCATGGTGGACACACGGGGGTGGGCAGTTACGGTTGTTTTTGGAACCTAAAAAAACTACACCCAAAATATCCCAAAATCGACCATGTTGGTAGTTTAGTAGCGGCTTGAAAGGGTTGTATTTTAAAAACGCAAATAAACCGTATTTTGGGTTTCGGACGTGGTGCTTTCTTAATTGGGGAGGCTTTTTAAATATAGGTACTTGGGATTATGAAGAGAGGCGAGGTCATGTCAAGAGGTCCAGGTGCAAATGTTGAAAGAACGTCCACGAACGGGTGTCGTTTCTGGCTTCACCCTGGCCTTCGCCACGAGACGGATGAGTGCAATTGCGGAATGCCACACCGGACCAGAAGGAACAAAACACAGCAATCACGTTTCTGTCTGTGGGACTGGGGTGCCAGTTGCACAGTCCAAATGACCAGTGTTGCCACGGCAATGTTACCTGTTACCCAAAAAGAGTGTTTCCTGCCAAAAACATTTGTAGGTTTGGCCGGGGCCACCGCGCCGAAGAGACCCACATGGAACCTGAAACCCACTGGTTTGTGGAGGCCGTCTTCATCTTCCAGTCTGGTTCATGTTCCATGTGGGTCTCTTTTGTGTCATGTGCAATGATTTTCTCCTTTGGAGTCGCAGAACCAAAGGGCTCACCAGATTTCACCCGTCCGTCCCCGAAATGCGAGGAATCCGCAACTTACGGGGTAACGAACTTGGGGATGGTTCTGTTACTCTTGAGGGAATGAACACCCCTGAGGATCCGAGATTGAAAAGAATCAATATCGCAAAAAGTTTTCAATAGTATTGAGTTAAGATCAAAAAATTTATCAATATGTTTGATCAATATCGACCAATATCATGATCAATATCAAGACCAACATCAATGTCAAAAGGAACCCCACAGGATCTCCACAGGATTCTAAACTCCGCAGGAACTCCACAGGATCTCCACAGGAACTTCACAGGATCTCCACAGGATTCTAAACTCCACAGGAACGCCACAGGAACTCCACAGGATCTCCACGATCAATATTGACCAATATCATGATCAATATCATGATCATTATTTGAAACCAATATCGACCAATATCATGACCAATATTATATAGATCATGATGTTGAATTTTTGGCTTCCAAGTTGCCCATTTTATTATTGAAAAAATTTGGGACCAATCGTAAGATTGATTTTTTAGTACCGGATCCTCTTGGAGCATCTGGGATGCTTGGAGCATGGGAGGTCATTTTTTTGGTTGAATCAGCCGGAAATGGCTGCATGGAGATCATGTCCAGTATGGCGATGAAGAATGTACAGAATGGAGAGTGCCTCATCCGGAAACAAGATGTTACATGCTGGGGTAGGTCATTCGACACCCTCAGAATCATAAAGTTTCTGGATGATTCCTCCCGCCACCAACACCAGAAATGTACCTATAGTATCTACTAGAATCATTCATCCTGAAGTAGAAACAAGTAACATGTCTTCGTACTTAGTTTCACACAGGATGTAAACAGTTGCAATACAGTTTTACACAACATGTCACCAGGTTTCTCTCATTTCGCAGCACTGGCGCCGGGTCGCCACTTCCACCTTCCTTCTCTGAGGACATCAGTACCTTGGAGGCCTTGGGCCGCTTCTTCCGCGTCACAGGCTCTTCCATGGAGGTCTTGGCAGAGGAGTGGGTCCGCCGCGAGGATGGTGGGCCGCTGGGACTTCTCTCCACCGCCAGCCCGTGAGCACTGGCGCCATGCGACCATGCGACCACCGTCGGTTCTTTTCGATAGAGCACACCCCTTTTCTGAAAGGAGACCCGTGTTTGACAGGATGGTTTTTCTGGGTTTGGCAGGAATGGTTTGGCGCCGCACTTCTGACATTGACGCACCGTCCTTTCAGTTTGGCAGCATGAAATCCTGTCCACGAGTCGATGTCAGACTTGTCCATGAGTCGATGTCTCTTCAAACATGGTTGATGGACAACATTCTCCTGCAGGACCCCTAGGACCCTAGAACATCCTATAAGCAACTACTAAGTCTGTCCCATTCTGTGGTGGAATGTCCATGAATCTCCTGAAATGCACAGCTCATGAACCTCCAATTCGCTACGCTTCGATCGGCCCATGTGGCCATTCCGCGTTCCGCCTGAGGCGTTGCCGGCCTAAGAGCTGCCAGGAGATTGCTCGTTGGGGCTTGGGGGCTTTCCGAGCGAGGAGGAAGAGTCCGGTGGGGTCGGATGATGGGCTGGAGATGGGGAGTTGCTAGGGGTCTTGAAAAGCCATGGCTGGAGAAGGCCATGTAAGACCTTCCATCTTCAGACCTTGTGCCCTCTTGGTTATGACCTTCCTTATCCTTCCTTGTATGATCACGTTTGTGTGAGACTGGACATATGCCCAGACAAATGGAATATTTGCCTGCATGGATTGTTGGGGAAGCTACCACAGCACACCGTTTTTTGTGTTTCGACCTATTGTTTGCGCTGAAGAGCCAGGGAAATGGTATGATAGTCGTGACCCATGGTTGGAGTTTGCCTGAATTGTAGGGTGTAGCAGTTCTGCTGTATACTAATTACAATATATAGTATATATATATATATATATTTTTTTTTAATTTAAGGGCTTACGCCCGACAGCCGGCCAGGGGCGTTGAGGTAGGGGGCTGGAGGGTGGAAGATTGGGCTGAGGGAGTGGATGTTGGGCAGGCTTGGGGCTCTGTTGCGCGCAGCTTGGGTCTAGCTTAGGCCATCTGGAGCCTTTGTTTCGCGGTCTTGGGGCTATGTTGAGCATAGCTTGCGTCTAGCTTGGGCCAGCTTGGGCCCATGTTGGCTCAGCTTGGCCTAGCTTTGGCACATGTTAGCCCAGCATCCGCCCACGATGCAGACGAAGCACCCCGGCGCGGTACGCATTTCCAGCATTATTTGGGCCTATGTTGGGCTATGTTGTCCCATCATGAGCAACGAGAGCGGAGAAAAAAACGTCAAAAACACTGAGTTTTCTGTGTTCCACCTGGGGGCGGCTACGCTTTCTGCTTCGCAGAAGCAGGCAACTCCCCTGGAGGGGCACGGCCGTCAAGTCAGGGGGCTGGGGGGCGAAAGTCGCGGTCGTGGTTGTGGCTGTTGTTGTGGTTGGTGGTGATGGTGTTGTTGGCGGTGTGGCTGTGATTGTTGCTATTGTCGTGCGCGTCAACATATATGACAAGCTGGGCCAACATAGCCCAAGATAGCGCCAAGATGGGCCAACATAGGCTCGGGCCAACATAGGCTCAACATGGGCCCAACATAGCCCCAAGATGGGCCAAGATAACGCCAAGATGGGGCAACGCAGTGCCAGCATCGGCCAAACATCCGCCCACGATGCAGACGAAGCACACTGGTGCGGCATGCATTTCCAGCATTATTTGGGCCTATGTTGGGCTATGTTGACCCATCGTGAGCAACAAGAGCGGGGAAAAAAATACGTCAAAAACACTCGGTTTTCTGGGTCCCGGACCTGGCAGCGGCTAGGCTTTTTGCTTCGCAGAAGCAGGCAGCTCACCTGGAGGGACACGGCCCTGACGGGCTCATCGCCCCTGGCCGGATTTACCCACGGCCGCCTGGGGTCGGCGGCCGCGGGTGTCGGTCCGAGCAACAGGGCCGACAATCACGTGTTCTCGACCGCCTGATCCGTGGCCCTCGAGATCCCTTATCACGGTGACCTCCTTAGAAATCATGGTTCGGCAACCTCGATTTTAGACATGCAGGAGGAAGGTCATACACGAAGCAGCCCCCCAAGTTATCATAGTTATAACTTTAGTTATAGCACTTACTGAAGTTAAAAATAAGTTATAAGTAAGTTATATGAAAGAAAGTGTAAGTAAGTTATAAGAAAGTTGTAGAAGTTATTAAGTTGCTTAAGTTGTTTGCGTTGCCAAAAATCAGTGCAGACAACCGCCGAGCCAAAAACACAGAAAACACAAGTGTTTTCAAATTCTGGGCAGACAACCGCCACAAGTCCACAGCCAGTCGCACTTTTACAACAGACACACGACTTTGTCATCTTCGTGGCACCACCTGCGTTGTGTCTTCCATGACTCAAACTGCGCAAGAAAACTTTTTTTGAGCCCTCAAGTGTCTGCCATAGATAAAAAAACTTGGTGGTAAGGAGGTCTAAGGAGACACACGGGGATACACCGGGATACACCGGGATACACGTGTATCCCAATGTATCCCTGTGTATCTCTCTGTATCCCTGCGCCTTCCGTTTCTATCGCAAAAAAAATGATCGGTATGCCGCACGTCCCTCTGAACAAAAACAATTTAAAAATGTCACATGTGCATCATGGTGCATCTCACACAGCCTGGGCAGACAACCGCCAAAAGAATCAACGAATCCTGCACAATGTGAGCACTTATTAACCTTGTTGGTGAAAATACTATTTTTGCACAGAACTTACAAATCATCAAAAAACAAACATAAAAAATAACTTCCGTAACTTGTTTCTAAGTTCTGCAAGCTTCAACATAGCATGTGTCATAACTATGTTATAAATTTCACATGTTTTAGAACTTACTTATATGTGTGTTATAACTTCCAAGGAACTTATCGAACTTAGCATAGGTTATAACATATGTTATCCCTAGTTATAACCTATGTTGAGGAAGTTTTTAACTTCTTTAACTTGGGGGGCTGCTCAGTGTATAAATAATATATATATATATATCGATGTTTTGGTCTCATATTGTATCGACATGTCTGTGCTACTTGGCGTTGTTCTTCCGTTCAACCCGGGACTCCAGCCTGGACACCGCCTGCACCGCGAAAAAAACATGACGGTCCCCATTCCTTTTCAAACATGACCAATGTCCAAAATTTGTCCAAAACAACTGTCAACAATTTGTCCATTTTTTTGCCAGCCCCAGCTATACCTATACCGAACTATTCTCAGGAACACGCCGTCCCCGTTCCGCTCACGCTCACGCTCTCGGTACTAGAACGGGGTCGGCGGATATATAAGCACTTAAGGTCGTGTTGGTATCAAAGGATTCCCCTCGTTTAATAGCCTCTATCAGGATGAAGATGAGGTACAGTAGCACGAACCTCATCAATCAACAGACAGCCTCCAGATGCCACCGCCCAATCCCCCTACTTTGTACCAGACAGTCTTGGCCATGGGGGTTCTGACGTTGTTTTTGAGCATGTACCAAGGCAGACCAGAAGGCTTTACACGTACCATGTTTGACCATCAACGACAATCGAATAACTAGTTCCACGCAAGTAAACCACAATTGATAGATCGTGAACAAGGGACTTTGAATTTGACACAAGTGTTTTTTACAAATTTCACATGCATGTTTTTGCAACATGATGGGGTTGAGTTCCTGCTCACAGAAACGGTCAAGGTATACTGTAATTGCGCACCATACGCCCTTGTTGCCTGTCAAACATAGTCACCACGTCACGCAATCTTCTAAGCGTTGATCTGAATTTTCACCTTCAAAGTGTCCGTTTCAATCTTGGCAGGAGCCCGAGGCACATACTGCTAGTGGCTTTCCGGTGATCCAGTTCGTGACTCGTCCAGTCGCCCACGAGTCATGGCCCGAAGAGAAGACGAGTGCCGTTCACTGCGCGCTTCGTGGGCTGTGAAGCGGTGCCCGCTCCGTCGGCCAACCCGGCGTTGTGAGAAATGCGTCGCCTCGTCGGACGAACAACAACTCGATGGCCTGGTCGTCGTGTGACTGAGGCGATCAGCTTTGTGCACCCTGAGATGCTGAAGACAGGTGTCGTTGTGAACCGAAACCCCTGACGACCGGTGATCCTTCGGCAGGAACGACATTCGCTGAAGCTGTAAACAACGTCCGGTTGCAGAGGGACAAGCTGAGTCAAACGAGTAGTAAAGGCTAACGAGACCACCGGATGAACTGAAGATGTTGATTGATTCACCTGGTAGGTACATTGCAGGTACAAGTATATTACATTCTTCTCATGTCATGCTTATTGGCTCTTTGAGCATCGGAACCGAAGCGCCCCCGCTTTCTCGTCCGAAAGCCCGAACGCGAAAGCAATCACGAAAACCCCACTGGTGCAGTCAGAAGCGCACGTTGCAGTCAGAAGGATCGCATGTTTGCATGATTCTTGCATGTTTGATGCTTGCAGTGAGATTTGCTGAAGGAGCTTTGTGGTCAATTTGCAAGTGCATTTGGGGTCAATTTGCACGTTGGCAGTTGTGTAGAAACCAAACATTGCCGTTGTTGCACATTGCCAAAACATTGCAAACACCTAAGAGCAAAATAATATGACCTCCCAACTGTTACTGAGGAGCCAGCTAGCCTAGCCTTGAAAAATATGGACCTCTCGGCTTGCTGGTTTAGCTCGAATCGAGCAAGACGACTTGCTACCCCTCCATCCAACAAACGTGGACCTGTGTTCCAGGCCCAGGAACTGGGCCTGGAGATTACAGCATTCCCTCCGTCCCTCCACTTGCATGTGTTTTCAGAGTAAGATGATCAAGGTACAGTCCTCGCAGGTGGGGGATCGGGTTGTCCTCGCTGTCCTCGCAGGGCCAAAGCCAGCGCCTGTGTGGCCAGCGTTACCAGCTGCGAGCCCACAGGAAGCACAACAGATCTCATGGCCCTGTGTGAGGCGACCGCCGCCATCAGTGTGAGAGTCGCCCTGGGTCCTGGGGGTAACGAAGATGGGGGTTGATTCACGAGGCCGGCTCATCCCCAAATGTCCCCAGGGGCTTGTCCAGTCTGGGTAGACGATAGACACATATAAGTCCGCATGTGTTGGACACTGAAGATTGACCGTGTGGGCATGTTGACCAGGGTGCGTCGTTTTAATACGGAGACCCCGTGGCGGCAGACAGGTCGTTTTTGGTCTCCTTCCAGGGGGTTGGAACGCCTGGTGTCGGTCTCCCTATTTTAGAACATGCCCGCCACTCTGTTTGTTTCTCAGTACGGCTTGGAGATGAGTGCTCTGACGGTGTTTGGAAAACCACATCCAAACCGCCTGTTTAACGGAGAAAATGGTGTTCCAGAAACAAGATTTTTTCGGCCTAACCGGGCATTCAAAATGCAACTGGTGTACTGTCATCGGGGTGGCTTTCAGATGACATGAGTCTAGTCTCACGATTCTGGGTTAGAAGCCGTGTGTTGTACTTTGGGGCCAACCGTCGATTCTAATAATGAGTGGAACGATGTGCATTGGGCCAACTGTCGGTCGAATCATTGCTGTTTGTGTTGCACTGATGTTTTTTACCCAGCCCAGCCTGTGGAACCAGTTGAAAAGTTCAAGGACCCACGCAAACTTAAAACCAGCCGCTAGCTGCAATTTCAATTTGGTTGCGAGTGCAATCTGAACCAGTGGAGTGTTGACACTCGCCGCGCCTACTGTCCATCTCAAACAGTCAGTGTGAGCAGCGAGCAGCTCATTTGTTCGAGTTTTTTTGCCCGACGCCAAAGCACTCGCGTGGAAGTTGGAAAGCAATTTCCTTCTTGAGTGATGAGCCAGAGCCTTAAGGCAGTGAATGTGCGACGACAATCATTGCGCCTGCCGTTGGGTTCTGCAACGCTCCGTTTCGAGGACGTGTGCCGAAGACGATGATGCTGCTTCACCAGAGGTCAGCAACCTAAGACACCCAAGAATCCATACATATATATAGTGTATACTGTATCAGATACATCGTGTTTGTTGTGTGTATAAAATTAACTTATTATGTACATATATCATATATCCTTTGCAGGGTCAGTCAGTCAATCAACTTGTACCTGGTCAAAACCCATCAATTTCAGGTGGTCTACATGCCAAACAGTGAGCGGTGGCCCAAATTTGGTTTGAGAGAGCCGCACTACCTGTCCTGTTGTGTGCAGAAAGTTGAACCTTTCTGGGGAGATCACACGCCAGAAGCAGACCCACTGAACATGAGACTTGTGACTTGGGTTGCGTTTGGACAAAGCATCAAGTTCCATTCTCGATTTCAGGGTATTTGTACTGCTTTCTCTAATCACTGGTATGGTTCCGAAACCATGTGCAAAATGAGGTGCCCAGCAAAGCGCAGATCAAGAAGGTTTGCAGCGGCAAGATCAACTCCAAAACCAAGAAGCTCCAAGTCAAACCAGTCATCAGACACACATACGGATGTGTCCGTGCCTCCCTTGAATAGTGCTTCAATCAAAGCTTCAGCTTGGGGTCCATGTTCTACTTACAGAAGCTTAGGCGTTTTCTCTGCAACCACAAGGGCGAATTGCAACTATCTCTCAGAGCGTGGTTGTCAGGCATTCTTTTATTGTTTCATTTTTGAGTGCCTCAAGTTCTAGCCTAGCCTTTGTGGCAATCTTGCTGTTGCCGCGCAGGATCTCGCCAACCAGCTGTATTGGTGGGATTACTATGGACACTGTTGCTCCAAGGCAGGAATCAGGAAAGCTAAATTCCTGAATCCAGAGTTTGCCGAGTACTTGAGCGGACGCTTCCATTGCAAAGGCAACGTGCAAGTTTTGAATTTGATGGTCCTGACTCACTGTCATTTTGTCGCTTGTTGATGGCGCTCAGGACTTCCCAGGGCTTGGTCGAACCCTGAATCAGCCATCAGTCCTGAGCACTTCGATGCACTTTTTCCAGATGTTGCTGCGTCCCGCTATGTCGTTTTGATGCAACACATAGTTTTTGATGCGCGTTTAAATGCATGTCGGTTTCATACCAGGCAGCGCTTGTCATTTGCTTAGGTGGACCTACTTCCTGTGATCAGCGTTTTTAGCGGCATAGGAGGTCTGGACTTGGCGCTTGCCCAGTCATATCCCTAGCTGACTGAGAGTTTTCTGTTGCAAACTTAACTTCATGGCATTGCCCATGAGGCGCTGCCGTGCAGTAGCCTATGTCACAGTCTCAGCCGTTGATTGCGCCTGTTAGCTGCCAGCAGCCAGTCCCTATGGCGTTGGCTGAGTGGTGAGGTTGAATGGAACCCATTCTGCCAGAGAGTTCTGGCCAGACGCATGGACGAAGGGTCGCTACACTATGGGACGATCTATGGCGACATCACCAAGTACACACCATCCAGCGCAGAGAGTGCTGAAGTTAAAGGTGTGATTGGGGGATTCCCATGCCAAGCCTTGTGGCCGTGTTTGGGAGTAGAACACAAACCAAAGCTTGTTGAGTGGCATTTCCTTTCAGATATTTTGGACGTGTTTTGTTTGTCAACTAAGGGTGTGAGCCAGGCTGGCCACATGGCAGGAGTTGAGGACAGCAGGTCCATGCTTTGCTCACGAATTTTCGATATAGCCGATGAATGTCCACATTTGAAGCTTGAGTGAAGTGGGTCAAGCCTTTCTTTTGTTTAGTTCATGTCGCAGCTTGCAAAAGGTAACAGTGGGCCTGACCCGTGGTTGTGAGCCCAGGTCGTTCTGCTTCTTGGAGAACGTGAGTAACCTACTGAGCGCTAAGCTTCGACCGCTCTTGGACTACATCATGGAGGCACAGCCAAGTTCCAGTTTCCAGGAATGTTGCGCCTAAGTGTTGTCAGAGTTGTTTTGATCTTGGGTGTTGGCAGGAGTTCACGCGACGAGGATTTGAAGTTCGCTGGTGTGTGATCAACGGCAGGAACGTGGGTTGTCAGGCGACGACAATTTTGCAAGGCAGTGCATGTTGTAAGAGACTCTAAACAAGCAAGGGGATTCTATGCGGTTGCTTCATTAAACGCCGCCTGTTTTGTAGACACAACCTGACTTGCCAGATGGGCCGCGAACGAATCTTCCTGTATGCCAAGAAGAAGGGAGCTGCCCACAAACTTCTTGAGGCAACGGGAGTTTTCTAAGGTGCTGTTTTGCTGCTTTGTCGTTGCAGGGCCTGCAGCTCTTGACTTCAGAGGAGGTCCATAGGAATGCACACAGACCTTGGAATCCAAAAGGCGGGGTTCCAATCACATCAGTACTTCAGCGCAAGCAAGCGCCGCTGGACAGTGACCGATTGAAGGCTCTGGGTAACGTAGTAGTTCCGCAATGTGGCAGAATGGCTTTGCAAGTCTTTGGTCACAGCTGTGGTGTGTGACCAGCGCCAGTGATTGGTTTGTCCGCTACAGGAACACCATTTGTTCATGTTTCATGTTAAAAGAAGGTATGCTGTGAACAGAGCACTTGTTGGAGTTTGTTTTTTGAAGGTCACTTGCAAATTCATTAACTGAGCCAACCTAGCCTTGCTGGAGGTGTTGCTTCCTCGATGTGCCAGGTTGACTCGTAATTCGATTATCATGTTGACAGAGGCCAGTAGACTCATCTGCGGTCAACCGGCGGATGGCGCCGACCCATTGCAAAATCAAACCTGACGCGAAACTGTTGTAGAACAATACATGGCGTCTATATAAACTTTTTGCCGCTAAGCAGTTACCTTTACTTTTACTCTGAGTTAACATGTTGGCTCGAAAACTGCAACAGGTATTCTCCTTGTTTAGAGACCCCCGCTCCTTTATGCCTACCTCAATCCGGATGCGACCCATCCAGTCATGGTGGGGGTCAGTCTATGGCCACGATCCTTGGTGTGGGCACAGTGGGTTCATCTCGGAGGAGGAATCAAGCGATTGGGAGGTATTGGACGGTGAGGACGAGGACCCAAACCGAGTGCCTTCGCCTATTGTTATTGAGGCTGAGGCAAGTTTGGATCCGGTGCAGTGTTACACTTGTGATCATGTTTCTGTATGTTTCTGTGGTTTGCGAGTTGATTCTATTCTAAATTTGTTGGAGGCCAATTCGACTACTATCTCTGGATCAGAGTCATCCGACGGGCCCACTGCCAACCCGCCATCCAGTCAGGCAGGGCAGTCAGCGCTCGAAAGATATCAAGTCCTGTTTGTACTTCACCTCTATTTTCCAGGGTGCACTCAAGCGCGCTTCGGAGAAGGATGCCTTCACTTCACAAGGATTGTCACGCCGGTTTCTAGATGTCCAGCCATACTTACCTTATGTCCTTGGCAGGAGAGACGAGAACACGAAAGCGATCCTGCGACAACATGGCAGGCCTGCACCAACTAAATTCCTTCATGTTAAGTTTTCTCCAACCCTCAGTGTTTGTGGCTAATCACCAATGGTGTGTGCAAAACATCCAAGTTTGCTCCTTTGCGAGGCACAGCGACTGGACAGAAGGAGGCCCTGGCTTTGGCCTCAACATCCAAGGTGGCACGCGTTCAGATTCGAAGGCTCAAAAGCACTGCCCAACTCGAGCTTTGAATGTTTATATGTTTGACGCAATTGTGTCAGACCTTCCAATGCCAATTTGTGAAATTCAAATTAAGGTTGTGTATTCTTTGTTTGCTGTTGCGTGGCAACAGAACAGTCAGTAACAGAACGGCAGCTGCAAAACGATCAGCCACTGTGCGCTACGATTGTAGATTAAATCGCGAACGGTGTTCAGGTTTCTTTTTTCAAGCCGGGTTCAGGGCACTGGGCAGAAAACCAGTCATGGCTACAGTTTTAACGCATGTGGTGTAACCGTGTTTTTTTTTGGGGGGGGGCATGCTACATCTACATCCCAGGTAGTCTCACAGGTGCTACTATGTGTGCGCTCTGAGTGCCCAAGACAGATTCTTCACATTCAATTCTTGGTTAACGTTCATTCATGTTCATTCTTCCTTTCATGGCATTGATACAATCTTGATA